TCTACTCCAGAGTGTCTTGCCTGCTCGTGATGGCTCTGAAATACAACAGCATCAGCTTTGTCACTTCATTTTCCAGGGAAGGTTCTGGAAAGTACATACATGTTAACCAAACACATAAATGAGGGGTCTTTTGGGGCATGTTTAGCAAAGCCTGATACCCCCAAAGACTTAGAGGGTTTAAAATGAACTGGAACCACACAATAATATTGAGAAGGCAGAAGGTAATGAGCATTGCAGTCAAACTGGAAGCGTGATGGACTGGGGTGCATAGAATAGGGTGGAATACTAGGGAAAAGGGAGGAAAAAAGAATAATTGGAGTCTGAGCTTCTTAGAATGAAAATAGAAGATACTGCAGAGATTTACCTCTATATCTGCTGACTTGTAAAAGGGTAGAGAGCTCTATCAAGCTCTTTCTCTGGAGCAGAAGGGGAGATATAGAGGAGAAAAGTTGGGGTTGCTCTTTTGAGCAGGAAAAGTGCCCCCTGAGTCAAAGGAATCTTTTTTCTGTCCCTGTGGATTTGGATTGTTCCTTTGATCCTTCTTCCCAGTATTTAGCAATTAAGACAAAACAAGTTCTTTTTAAGATTGATTGTGGTGGATGTTGGAAGATTGATTTTTTAGGTGTCAGATATTAAGGAAAGAGAGAAGACAACAAACACTTTTTTCCTTCTTGATGTGAGGAAAAGATGGGAGCTGAGATTTTGCATATCTGCTCACCACTGGTCCAGATGAGCAGTATAACGAGGAGTGTGTGTGTGATTTTAGCATTTGTTTTAAATAAAGGTGACAAAAGAGCCAGGGAAGCATGCCTGCTTACACAGTATTGAGTTTTCAGGTTTTCACAGCTTTACAGAAATTAAATTCTTTTTTCGCTCTCTCTTGAGCTTCTACAAGAAAGTTAGAAAATATTCTATGGTGGGAATTTCTGTAGTTGTATTACTGAGGCAAGATATGTAATTTGTTAGTGTTATACTGAGGAATTGAGCCAATCAGAGTACAATGGATGACCAGAAAGTTGATCATGAGAAGCCAGCAGTTTCCTTTAAGATGTACAAGGCGTCTAGATTCTCTGGGGATTGCTTTTAGCTCTTCTCCTAAGGCCCCCCCCCCCCCCCCATTTCCTTCCAGGTAACATGTCGCTTAACAAAATAACGGATTTTTGGGTGCTTCTCAATAAAAACTGTAGGGAAGATGAGGAAATTATGAAACAAAGTTGAAAAATGAAATGGATAATAAATAAAAAATGGAAGAAAAATTAAGTTGCTGGAAGACCTTATGAACCAGGAGAGTGTTATGCATGTGGGAAGGAAGCAGCTGGGAGTTTGATGGCATTTAAGGGTATTTAATGACGTAATGCAGCATTTATGTTAGCTACTTTTAAACAGGTTTAGCTGTACTAAAATAGTTCTCACTGATACCTTGCTTGGTGTTTATATGGCTGTTTTATGCTGTTTATATTGGATTTGTGTACTGTAATGTATGAAGCGTTGGGAGTCACTAAGAGAGGTTTGGCCATAGAACAGAAATGAAATTATCATCATAATTGGAATTCCAACACCCTACCCAAGAATGCTTTATGTGAAAATCATTGGTGGATTTTAATTCCCATATATAATAAATAAAAAGAATAACTAGTATATACCAGGGTGGATAAAAATCAATGATTAAAACAACAAAAAAATCAGATTTTTTATTTAAATTGGATTTTCTTATTTAAATAATTTTTATCTAAATTGGATTTTTTTAAATAAAGTGCTTTTGAGGACAAAATCTATCTAAAGAACATTGTCTGTTTAGGATACATTATTGTCCAAAGGCTATTCATGAAATAAGGATTCACTTTTAATTATGTAGCATGAGGCTGTATATTCATGCAATGTTCAAATTTTTTAGTAAATGAATTCCATTAATCCGTTCACAATGCAATGCTCTTCCAGAAGTTTCTGTAAGATTATTGGGTGATTTTTCTGTCTTGAAGATATTATCACAGATGGTTGGTTCTACAATTCTCAAAACTGTGAACTTCTGTCTGCAGAGATCACATGCCTCTTCTTCACAGCAAAACTGTTATAAAAGAAACATACAGAGTTGAGGGGAAAAAAACCCTTAATCCCATTGTTCCTTTGCAAATCTATGTACACAAAATCATCCCCTTACCACTTAAGTGCTAAGTTTTAAAAAATTCAATGAATATAAAAAGATTGTTAGGAGTGGAATAGAGCTGCACAAGAAGCTAAGTGTGAGAAGGGAGAGACAAGCAATACAAATGCAGTGAAACCTTTTGAGCAGACTACTGCACAAGTTTTTGGCTGTTTTTGTGTATAACTTGAGGTTTATCAAATCATTCTTTCCCTGGAGGAGAAAACCTACTTTGGCAACAGGCCGTAAAAAAGACTTGGTTTGTGAGTATTTTAATGAAGTTTCTCCATGTACAGGTAAGGCAGGCAGGCATTCAGATTATGTAGAAAACCATTATCTAGTCTGGCTGACCAGTGATTTAAATCAAATCCACCCTAAATGTATGCATAGCTCCATATAGGATAAGTGTAAAAGTATACTGTATAATAGCAATCTAGTATTGTTGCTGTGCTAAGCAGGGAGAATATAAATTGTTGAGGTTTCTTAGATGGACCAGGAAGCAAAAAGGTATTATTATGCTAACTTATTATCCTTTCTGAGAGGTCAAGAAAACATAAACAGCTTTCTTTACAACAGCTTTAGGAAGTAAGGGTAGGCTGGCCAAGATCACATAATAAACAACTCTGAGAGGTAGGTTAAACAGGTTCAGGTCTTTGTGATGGAACATATATTTGAACCTGGGTCTCCCTGCTCTATTTCCAGCATGCTTCCCTACACTGAGTCTTATTTAGAGGTGCTGGGAGAAGCAATGTGAGCTGAAGCAGGTCAAATGCTCAGACAATAGGTGTCTTCAAAACTTGCTATTTGAGAAACCAGTAAGAGATTTGAAACATAACACCTGATGTTTTCTGTGCTCTGTGTACCTTTGTATTCACAGTAGTGAGCACACTTCCGACATGCTGAATCCTCACAGCATACCGAAAGTGTTGGCTTCGATGGCTGCTGGAAAATAAGCTCCATTGATTCCCCATGGAGTGTAATGATTGGAAGAGAGGGGTTTTTTTAACATAGAAAATCACTGACATTTAAAACCCTTCTCTTTCTAACATTTTTGGAGATAATTATTCCAGAGGTAAATTGCAAGCTTTTGCTTTCCTACTGTGCTTGATGTCATTTTGCATACGTGTATTTTACTCTTCAAACTAAGATACAAATTAGTGGGTGGTGGTTACATTTTTTTGCAGAATAGGTAAAACTCAAATACTCAATAGCTACTTCTGGGAAATACATTTTAAAAGTACAAGATGAATATTCCATATTAGCAGAATTGTACATTTATAATGCACTGTAGTGCTCCATTTATGGTTTTGTCCTGCTAGTTTCATTGCAGAAATTTATCCTAGCTGATTTCATTTCCTTTATTTAAAAGTTAGCTCCTGAATGGATCTTACTTATTATTATTCTATACTCTGGTTTCACTATGGATAGTATAAATCTTTCATTTTTACTAAAGCTTATTAGTCTGCCTTTTATATATATTATTTTCTATTTTACACATTTTTGGACATTATGAAACAGTCCCTTATACAATGTCCAAACACAAAGATCATTAAACAGTACAAAAATGAAACAGCATCTCATAATCTTCGCTCCTGATTCAGTTTTACAGTATTAGATGTGAATGACCTAAATATAACACAATAAACACAAATAATACATGTGTACCTTTAGAATTTGCTGATGATTGTTTCCCTCTCCTGTAAGTAACCAGAGCCAGTATCCTGGAAGAGTGGCCTTCAGGTCGAAAGGCATGCTGCACAGATACCCTTCCTGCTGCCAGAATTCTTTTGGGTAGTTTGAGGCACTATAGAATAATGCTGATGGTATGCCATGTTTTGCAATTTCCTTCCACATGGGTCTGTGCAAATTCCTTTGTGGGTACACCTGTAGCCATTGTAGTTCAAGGCTCTGTGCTGTTTTAATAACTTCCAGGAATTGTGTGACCTTGAGATGAACTAAAGACCAAGTGAGAGCCACATGCAGAGGTCATCTGGTCTCCACTAATCTTGATGGATTTTTCAGGTTTGAATGAAGATGCACACTATTATCCTGGGAACAATACAACCAAAGTACAACAAAAACCAGATTGGAGGCAACACTTGGACTTTCACAGGGTTGCTTTAGGTGTACCAAAGAGTTGAGGTGTGCAGTAGGGCTTTAAAAACAAAACAAAAGCGAAACACTTTGAATAGCAAAGATTCTTGCTGTGCCAAAAAACTGCTTTGGAAATTCTCAATTTAAAACGTTCTTTTGTTGCCCTGGATGAGAAAAAGAAGCCCCAAACCACTTCTGTGCTGCACTAGCTTCACAGTTCTTTGGAATCTTAGCTTCTAAAAGATTTTAATTTTAGGCTGAAGTCACATGCACTCTGTCTGGGAACAAGTGTCCTTCAGCTTGGTGTGCTTTACTTCTAAGTAACCATGCATAGCACTGGCCTGTCAAACTGCTCCAGACATGAATAATACAATAATAGTATGTACGCACACGCCTCACACATGAATGGACCACACTGCTGGTTTCTGGCCTGCCTGTTTCTTTGAAACATGGGGCTCTATCCAGAATCTGCCTCATGGACAGAAGAACTCCCACTGGTGGTATGGAGGAGGTAGAAGCAGTCTCCATTGAGGTGGCACAGGGGCTGCAAAGAAGATGGACTCAGCAAAGATTGCCTTTCTTCCTCTTTCTACCAGTGGAATATGCTGAGTGGAACTTGGTTCAGGGAATGCTCATACTGGCAGAGAAAAGCAAACATATCTGCTATTTATTATCAAAATAATTGTATAAAGCTGTTTTTCTGTTCTCATACTGCTCCTCCTAACCCCCCCCCCTCCATTCTTTCCCTTGAACAGATCAGTAATGCTATGGAACTAAGCGATAAGGAATTTGCAAAGACCAGTGTGGAACATCAAGGACTTCTAAGACTGTTTCCCTATTTGATGAACATTTTTCATGCCAGGAAATTCATGTCACAGTGACCAGCTAACAATGAGGGCGAACTTGAGAAAATGATCAATCCCTTTTCTGTCTGAATCGTATTTATATAACGAAGGCCTTGGGAATCACAGAGACGGTGATCACTCTACTTGTCCAGCCATGGGAGACAACTCAAGTTTTTGGGACAGTTTGATATTTGCACACCCTGTCTGTGTAAACTGGAAGTCAGAAGCAGAAGGATCTATCTATCATTTAGCTAGCATTTTGTTTGTTGTTGGCTACATGGGTGGCAGTGGGTTTTTTGGCCTGCTGTACATCTTCTTTTTGCTTGGACTTGGTTTTCTCTGCTCATCTGTCTGGTCTTGGCTGGATGTCTGTGCAGCTGATATTTTCTCTTGGAATTTCATACTGTTTGTGATATGCTTCATACAGTTTATTTATGTAACCTACCAAGTTCGGAGTGTTGCCTTTGACAAAGAATTTCAGGATCTTTACAGTGCTATGTTCCAACCACTGGGAATCTCACTGACTGTTTTTAGAAAGATTGTCCGATGCTGTGATGAAGAAGTCGTTACACTGGAGAAGGAACATTGTTATGCCATGCAAGGGAAAACACCAATTGATAAGCTCTCCTTGCTTTTGTCAGGAAGGTTTGTATCATGTTTATTCCTTGCTTCTTAAATTAAGAACAAAAAACAAAAAGAATGTCAAACTTTTTAGCTCCTGTGTAAATTAAACACAATGGGCAGCAATTAACAATGCTATTGCACTAATGCAAATTATGTGGCACTAGTGGAAGGGACCCCAATGCAACACCGATAGTGTAATGCTATTAGCATTGTACTAGATGTCACTTAATGCTAGCACAATATAATTTGAATTAACGCAGTGTAATTTGCATTAATACAATTGAATGCTGTTCAATAGGTTAAACATTTGGTCACTTTAGACCAGAATATAAATACATTTCTGGTATTAAAGACTTAATAGCTTAAAAGGAAAAGAGGACATTTTATAAATCTACAAATCTGTGCAAGTGCCAGAAAGTATAGCTCTGGATCTTGTGGCAAGATTTATTATCCTGAGGTTAACTGCTTTTTTTCTTTGTCTTTTTCTTAAAAAGGCACCTATAATAGTAGAAACTGTTAGGGATATTGAAAGCTCAGGAGATTGAAAAATGAAGGCTTGAATTGGGTTTCTAGAGCTTAAGATTTCTTCTTCATAGTTATTTCCATTTTTGCGTTGTCTTGTTGCTGCCATTTTACATGGAGTATAAAACTTACACACCTATATATAACTTGCATAATTCTGAAGACAAAATGTAGGTCTCCTGAGCACAAAGTTGACATTTTCTTAAATTCAAACAATCTCAGTCTGCATTTGTCTTCCAAACAGATTTGGTATAGACATCTTGGGGAGACACAGAGAAGGAAATTGGGCCTGCAGGTGCACAGGACACCACCTTTGCTCTAGAAGCTCATGATGACAAAAGCCCTCCCACATTTGTTCCCAAGTTCTGGCACTAGGTTTGAACAGTGCTGGCTATATTCATGGTGAAGGCTACTAGCCATTGATTGAGCTATTCAGTATATCTTCCAATAATTTTCCTTTAAGAAACTGCCCAAGCTAGCTTGCCAGCACCATTCCTTGTGGTAACAAATTCCCTAAGTTGCACACAATATGTGAAATACATAACATATTCAGAATTGTGTTTGAAATTCTCAATCCTAGAACTGCAAAGGAGATACAGGAACTTTACAGGAAGCTATAAATCAGAATTCTTTTCGGTTTCTTCTGTGTTCAAATGCTGTTCTTCTATACGATCCCTTTCTACCAATAAGGACTTGAAGTGTGAATGCTAATAGGCTCCGTTGTGCATGTACAATCTTTTCCAATCACCTTCAGTGATTGAGCTAAAGATGAGCTAGGAGATATACATTTGATACTCACTTCTAGTGATACCCTTCAGTCTATCTGGTCTGTATCCATTGGAAAAAGAAACCATCTCGAGTTGTATAAAGTTATGCAGAAACTAGAACATCTTCACAATGGCCTTTTTTTTCTTTTTAAGGAAACTGGTCTTGTAATCCAGGCTTGCTAACAATATTAACACAAATTGCTTTGTTTCATTAGGATCAGAGTCACTGTGGATGGGGAATTTCTGCATTATATTTTTCCCCTTCAGTTTCTGGATTCTCCTGAATGGGATTCACTAAGACCCTCAGAAGAAGGTATTTTTCAGGTAGGGGAATTTTGCAAATCCGTTGAATAATGATATCTTATCTTTTCCAAATATCCAGGTGTGCAGGGCCCAGAAATGCCCCAACTTAGGGGCAAGTCTTATCTCCCTGAAAATCATTTCTGTTCCGCTCTGTTTGTGGGATGAACTTTAGTACCGTAATACTTTCAAATGAATAAAGAAAGCAACAACATGTTGAGGAAGTTATGAATTTATATTTTTTGTGGGGGGGCACATCTCTGCTCCATGCCACATTTTCTTCTGTACCATGTAAACCCAACAGCAGTGAAATTACTAGGGTTGACAGAAGGAATTACCTTCATGAGAGCTGGAGTTACATCCAAGCTCATATCTGGAATAGTTTATAAATCCAACAAATGAAGTTTGTCCAGATTTAGGGATCATAGGACAAGTGCCACAAGAAAGAAGCATTCTCATATTAATAGTTGTAGAAAAATAAAGAAGAGGAAAGAAGTGGTTCCTTGAGTTCCAGGAGGAACATATTGAAAGCTTTCCTTCCCTGTCCTCATTCCTTCTTATAAAGCCTTTTGCCAATCTGATATCAACAGAAACAGCGCTGCCATCTGTACAGAACACATTCTTCCTCTCACCACGGGCACATGCACAGCACCCTTTAAACTGTGAGAATGAATGTCCATGTGCAATTCAGTGGGCTGTGCGTGAAGAATGGATGCCCACAGCAGCTTCCAGGCTTGAGCTAAGTGGAGTTGGGTACCCAGTTCATGCCAAAAAGCCTTTCTCACAAGTGAAACATTGCTCTTCCTGCTCCATCCTCTGTTAGAAACCTCTCTCAGAAGACTCTCTCCTTTCTTCCTTGCCATTCCATATACTTGGACCTGTCTTTAGATGTCACTCGCCTCCCTCCCTCCCTCCCAGTTCAGTTTTTCTGTGGAGTCTTTGATACTATCCCTAGTTTCCAAGCCCCACTGTAACTGAACTAAGCCTAAACATGTGCATGGAACCAACCACTCATTGCAAACATGTTACTTCTCCTTGATCCGCAAGCTCCTTCTTGTGCTTCGCAAAGCGCTGTGCACATTGACTGTAATATATAATTAATAATATCAAGTGCAGATACAGTCTGTGAGAACTGTTTGGCTTTTAACAGGATACACATTTGGGCAGGCTTGTCCACCTGTTCTAGATGCAGTTCTGAATGTGTGCCCTATTGAAAGGAATGCTGTAGATATTCAGAGCAGTCACCTTAGGATACACGCTTGGGTGTACCTTGATCCATGCTCATGGTTTCTTAAATTAAAAGTGAGATGTGCACAGATCCTCCCTGGTTTGATCTGCCCAAGGAAATGCAGGGGAAAGGACAAGGTTAGGCTCAAAGGAGGTACACTTTTTGGTACAAGATGTACCATTTATGTATATTGGTCATATCAACTGAATTACATTTTTGCATGCAGCTTCAGAAATATTTCACTGAAGAACGGAGGAAAGGCAGGAAAGAGAGGAGGTTTTCCTTATAAATTGTGATTATAATGACATTAACACAAATAGAAACTTATCTCCTCTTTTTTCCCCTGAATGTATCTTTCAGGTAACTCTCACAGCAGAAACAGACTGTCGATATGTAACCTGGAGAAGAAAAAAATTATATTTGCTTTTTGCTAAACACCGATTCATTTCACGTGTGTTTTCAATTCTAATTGGGGATGACATTGCCAATAAGCTCTATGCTTTGAATGACAGAGTGAACCTGGGGAAAGGATTCCGATATGACATCCGCTTACCAAACTTCTATCATGAGTCTGTACCCAGTACACCTAAAAGACAACCTGCAGATCATTTTCAGAACAATTCAAGACAACATTAATGTTATCAATTGCAGCTTGTACTACACAAGACAGATTTTCTATTTCATTGCTCCCAGAATGAATCACTGAAAGATATCATTAAAAACTTTATGATAAAGAATGAACTATACTATAAAAAATGAACTGAGACTGCTTATAAAAGCAATTTTCAAAATAAAAGTCACTTTTTAGCAGAGAAAAAATATTGAGTTTGGCTCCTTTCACAGAGATCACAGAGCCAACCAGGCGTGCTTCTTGACGGATTGTGTATTATGATCAGTTTCTATTGACTCTTTCTGCTCATCTTATTACTTCGGGGGTGGAGACGGATATGAATCATTTGATAAGGCTTTGTTGTAATTGTGGTGCCCTGTGTATTGTATTTTCAAGAACAAAATTTGCACAGAACTTTTCTTCATGCTTATATGACCTCCTTGTTATTATTAATTATGTAAGTAGTTTATCTTAGACAAGAGCAACAAGCAAAACCATCTTTAAAAAGTGATCTTGAAAAACTTGCTTCTTTATAATTACAGTGCATAAGTTTGGTTTTCTCAATGTGCTGTGTCTTAAAGGAGCTGATATGCGAAACAAAGGAGATTGCTCAACCTGTAAATTGTGGAAGAAGGCTAACAATAATTTATTTCCTGTAAACATTCATCAAATTATGATTTGAGATTATTCTCTGGATAGTAGAGGCCCTACACATTAAAACAAATGGCACTAATGTAATTACATTTACTGTAAAGACTGTATAATTCCTATGAATTGCTGCAACTTATGAAGCAGATAAAACTGTTTGTGTTAGAACATACAGCTACAACCTTGGTTGGAAAGGGACAGCAGTTCTTAAAGAAGGTGGAAGTAGTATGCTAAAGGCATTATCTTCATAGTGTACTCATTTCATTTGTTTTGCCTCTACTCAAATAGGCTTTCTAGGTTTCTAGATGCTACAGAAACATACCCGACCTGTGAATTGAAATGATAATAGCATCACATTACAAGAAATGATGCCCTGTAACATACCAAAGAAAAAATACTACTTGCTTCTAATTTTAGACTTCAAAAAGTGTGAGTTTTTGAAGCAAATTGTCAAAACAGGATGACTATCTGTAAATTTTCTCATTGAGATGTCAGGAAGGACAGTTAAATTGTGAATTTTCGTGTCTGTAACAGCTTTGAAAAAGAGTTTATGATATTCATTTGACATAGGAACTAAGATAGTGATTGTCTACTAGGTTTGAATCAGTTGACCATGTCATGTAGGGCCAGTTTGGATACATGGTGATGATACCTGATGCATCAGTAAGCCTTACCTCATGCATTGGTACCTCATAGAATTGAGTGAAGCAAGAAAGTACTTTTGATTGTATGTCTGAACCAATTTTAGTTGAAAAGTCTGTGTATTTTTATGCAGTTTTAGTAATGCCATGGAAATCTGGACAGTTAACCCTATGCAGCAAGTGAAATTGCCTACATAGCTGCTGTAGATGTTTGGATGCCACAAATCTTCCTAGGTCCACCTAGTGTAGATGGGGATGAGCATGCTTGTCTAGCTCACAGTAAAGCTCCATTAGAAAGGGACTGGAGGCACTAGTTGGGTTTTGAAGGACTTGCCTTGGGTGCACCCAAAAGTCTGAGAATCTGGTATATGGATTTACTTTGGACCCTACAGTTTCTTTCCATATCACTAACTGCTTTTGAAACCCTTCAAAACTGCTAGGAATCCTGCTTGGAAAACTAGTCGATGTGCTCTTTGGAACTTGACCAACATTTCTTTTTCATATTTATATGATTTTATATCCTTCCTGAAACAACTTGAGGGCAGCTGGTTTGCCACCATGTGAACAGAGTGCTGGCCTGGAGGGACCATTGCTCTGATCTGGTATGGCTATTCTTATGTTCTTACAGAAGAAAATCAAAGAGAAAAACAGTTCCACTGGACCAATTATACGTAAAATTGCTCAACCTTATCATTGTTAAAGCATTGGATGATATCTCTCATGTCCTACTACTCAATTAATTTAGAAGTTATTTTGCTTTAAAAAGAAAAAGGTGTGTAGGTTTTCCTTTGTGCCTCATATGTGAAAAGGAATGATGATCTTCACTTTTTCTTATGAAGCAATATTGAAGCATGATAGATGTTGCAATATGTATATAGTCAGAATTGATAGGGAACTGAGTTTGAAAGCTTTGTGATTCACTGTTGCTAGGAGGTTTCTGGAACAATGATACTGTTTTGTGGAAAAGAAATGCTCTTACTATGTAAGAAAAATGCCATCATTTCTATAATCATGTTAGAAAGCTAGAGATTATTGGATGATTGGGTTTCAAGCTCTTACTGTATAAACAGGTTGATGCAAGAATCTAGTTATTTGTAAATGAAAGTACACTTTTCTAGATCTGGCCAGCAAAGGAGTAGGCAACTTGGATTCCTCCAGATGTTTTGGATTAGAATTCCCATTAACCTCTGCCAGCCTTGCTAGTAGTCAAGGATTATGGGAACTGTCACCCAAAATATCTGGAGAGTACCAGGGTGCCTTCCCATGGGCTGGAACATGACTAAGGGTGCAATTGTATTCATGTTTAAACAGAAAGAAAAGGTCAACAACTTCCAACATGCCTTATGCTGGCTATGACAAGCTGGCTGCTATAGACATTTTTCCTGCGTAAACATGCACAGAATTGTAGCACGATGTATTCTGCTTTACACTATTTTTTGCTGTTTATTTAGTTATATTTTACCATTCCAGCCAAATATGGATTGTCTTATTTTGTCCAAACTCTTATTTATTGCTTTAATCTGAAATTTTGAGTATTATTAATTAAAATAAATCCTATTATATCTGATTACACTAGAAGTAATCCAACATGTGAATAGTGTTTACATCACACTGTCAGTGGTGTGAAGAACTCTAATGAATTTGTGTTAGAGTTATATGTTTATACTCAGGGGAAGATTAGAAGCAGGTAAACGTGATTTATATATGGCGATGGCTTTAAAAATAATGTTCCATTCTTCTGAATGTTGTATACTGAGCTTAGCTGACCAGTCTCGTGAAAGTAGTTACACTTTATGGATGTTGGAACGTGTTTAGTAAGAACACCTATTTTCTCAGCATTACCAAATTGTTGTACATAATGTATATGACAAAACAATACAAGATAGTAGAAAGTTTTTGAAATAGTTTTGTAGTTATTAAAAATGTATGAAAAGCAATATTGGTGCCAGTAGACATGTTCTATTGTAAATTATGTGTCAGGCATTTTATATAAAGCAGGTCTATACTACAATTGTACTGTTGTCCATGCATTAAAAATATCAGATTCTAGAAAAATGCCTTTTAATTTTAAGGTAAAGCCCCTTGATTTTGGAAGAATGTCTGGCATGTGCAGGCAGTCTTACCAGTCCAGCTGCATATGTACACGTAAAGGCATCTGGTGGGAGAAGCAACTCCTGTGCATAGATCTGCAGCTTTGGGTGAAATGATGGGGGTGAACAGGTGCTGTATGTACTTTTGCAAGCACAATCTGGAGGTTGGGTCTGTCAGTACACAGATGAAAAGTGGAATAGAGTTTTCTTCTGTATATTGTTCTTTATTATATAAGCTAGACTAATTTTTGATTTCAATACTGGCAAATGGAAACAGTGAGAGGCTCAAACGTTAAAAGAAATGTTAGCAATTGCTATAAATATTTTAAGATCTATGAAGACAGAACACTTGAAAATGGTTATTGTTAGCCTTACATTAATGAGCTGTGCTGATGAATAATAATTCACTATATACTAGTTTCTCTGACATAGAAAAAATATTTCAATAATACTAGCTCCTGCTGTTATCTTTATGAGTGCAGACAATTATTTAGATAGTGGGGAAATGAAAATACTAAGTGTGTGTGAATAACCGATTATTATTTATTACCATTTATTTATTCTAAAATATTTATACTCTACTTTTTCTTCCTAAAAAGCTTTGAAAGCTGATAAAAATAATTATTAAAAATTGAAGAAGAGGTGACCCACTCTGATAGGGAAGATTCTATGGCAGGTGGCCAGACTTGCACAACAAAAGAGCCTCATACAGTAAATGTAAGATGTTTGAGAGCTGCAAGCAGGCACCCATGGACAGAGCCTGTGGGCAGCCAGTGGCAAGCAGGTGCCTGTGGGTGGCAAGCAGCAAATGGGCACCCATGAGTAGCAAGCTGTGTACAACAAAATAAAAAGCTGCATGCAGCTCGCAAGCCTCAGTTTGGCCAGCCATGTTCTAAGGAATGGAAAGTTTCCTTCGAGATAATATTGAAGGGAACTGGAAGGAAGAACAGTATAGAAAGTTGAGATATATATTGAACGAGAGCAGGAAGGGCAAAGATGAGATTTTTAATTATCTTGTACAAGGCAGAGAGACTGGAGCAAGATTAATTTACAGACTGACACACCTGAAGGATGTGACTAATTGTGAAAAAGTTGAAATGCCTACCAAGCGTTTCCAAACAGCAGATTAATTGTTGTAGCTTTTAGTACTCATACTGTGTAAGTTCTTCTCCCAAAAGGGTTCAAAATTCTTACGCTTTTATAATGGAAAAAGAGGCAGCATTGATGAAAAAGACACATTATTTTGTTTTTGAACACATTTTATATTTAGCTTCATGAGAAATGCAGCATAATGACTTTGAGATTTCAGGGATGACTTTGTGTTCTGTTGAAGGTATACTAAGATTTCTAATTGCCTTTCTGTTTCCATTTTTAGGCAAATTCAGTACAAACCATATCTTGTGTAGCTTGCTGGTTCTGTACAGATTAAGACTAATCACAACTAATCCAACCAAACCACTCTTTGTGTGTAAATATTAGTATCATAAATCCAGGGGTACAAGAGCATGGTTTCTTATATCCATCTCTGCTTTATTTTAATGTGCAGGCCTGTTAGAGAGCTAACACATAGAAAAGTCTGCTGTCAGGAAGAATGTCTTCAGGGGTACAGTCTAAATATGTAAGAGCTTGTAGATGGAGTAAAAGTAAAAAGACTTTTGAAGTCTACCAATGAATGTCTCTTCACATAAACATTCAGCATTAGGATATGTTTGGTTATGTCAACAGATTCCACTTCTCACAACCTTAAACTATCATGGTGGTGAGATAGTTCTTTGGCCTGCTCAAGCAAACCTGGTCTTCTTTGCATCCTTCATGTTTATTGCTTGCCACTCCAACATAATAAGCAGAGGGTTGTAGCTGCATTTTGTGCCACACTTTAACACAAGGATCTTTCAGTATGCTGGTCTGTGCTGCGAACCAACACTCTTGAACATTATAATTTAGATAAGGAAATGCATGGAATGCTTGACAGATCTGGAGAGAACACTAAACTGGGCAGGATAGCTAATACCCTGGAAGATAGGTACAAAATTTAAAGTGATCTTGATAGATTGGATCACTGGGCTAAAAGCAAGAGGATTAAATTTAACAGTAGCAAAGGCAAATTTTTGCACTTAGGAAAAAGAAACCAAATAAATAGTTACAAGATGGGAGAATATTTGGCTCAACAATACAACAAGCTAGAAAGATTTTGGAATTATAGAGCATAAGCTGAATATGAGTCATTCATGTGATATGGCTGCAAAAGAAATGCTGTTTTGGGCTCATTAATAGGAATATCACTTCTAAATCATGTGAACTACTAGTTCCCCTCTACTCAGCACTGGGTAGGGCCCATCTGGAGTACTGTGTCCAGTTCTGGGCACCACAGTTTCTGAAAGATGCAGACAGTCTGGAAAGAGTTCAGAGGAGGGCAACAATAATCAAGGGACTGGGAAAGGAATCCTGTGAGGAGCAACTGAAAGAACTGGGCATATTTACCCTTGAGAAGACTGAGAGGAGACATGATAGCATTCTTAAAATACTTGAAAGGTCACAAAGAGGAAGGCCAGGATCTCTTCTCCATTATCCCAAAGTCCAGGGCATGGAAAACAGGCTTGTGTTACAGGAGGCCAGATTCAGGCTGATCATCAGAAGAACTTTCTAAATTTTAGAGCAATATGACAATGGGATGGATTACTTAGAGTGGTTGTGGGCTCTGCTACACTAAAGGCATTTGAGATGCAGTTCAACAGCCACCTGAGAGTCCTGCATTGAGAAGGGGGTTGAACACAATGGTCTTATGGCCCACTAACCCAACTGTTGTATGAGTCTGTGTCTGTGATTCTTAGAGTGGTCTACCAGTTCATTAAATGAGGACCTCATTTCCATATGTTTGCAAAAATGATCTGAAATGTGCATGAGTTTCTATTTTCTTTCACTGAAACAAATTGAGAGTCCTGAATGAGGTTTCTATCATGCCTTTGGTCCCATTTCCCACCCCCTGATTCACAGAATTTTACCCAGGATCCAGATGTCATTGTGTGCTCCTCAGAACTCTCCCATGTTTTCCCAGTGCTAATTTGTTTTGCATATTACAGAAAATCTATGACAGAGGAAGGGTGGAACAGGTGCATAATGCTAGGTGCACTGTGAAAATAGGAACCGTCCCTCTGGAAACCTCCCAAACAGTCCTTAATTTTGGCTACATTACAACATGTAATACTTGTGCTGATACAAATTAGATTTGTTATTCTGTGATCAACTTATGCTTGGTTTGGAGTTTCATTTGGAATCAGAACACCTTTTTGGTACTGACGGTGAGCATTGCAAACTTTCACAAAGTTAATTAGTTTTATTGTAAGACAGCCCCAAGACTATTGGTAGTGGAGGGTATAGAAAAGTTTTAAATAAATTCCTATGGAAAGTCTTCTAGACATTATGTGTGAACAGCTATAAGCAGACTACTGTGCCCTGCCCTTCCTTTTCGTACCATCCTATTTATTTATTTATTTATTTATTTATTTTTCAGTTTATATCCTGCCTTTTTCCTACAAAGGGCTCAAGGCAGCTTACATTTCCTCCTCCATCTTATCCCCACAACAACAACCCTGTGGGGTAGGTTGGGCTGAGAGTCTGTGACTGGCCCAAAGTCACCCAGTTGGCTCCATGGCTGAGCGGGGACTAGAACCCAGATCCTCTGAGTCCCAGTCCCATGCTCTTAACCACTACACAACACTGGCACCCTAACCCAATACCAATATGAGATGCATCATTTTCCATAAAGGAAGTCACAGCCTTGTGTTTTCAAGGGCTGAGCAAGACTGGCCAGAAAGGACATTTTGAGTGCATTCATTCATCTGAACACTGTAAGTTAAAGAAGTCTTGAAACTACATAACCACCACTATAATAAACCATTTAATAGCCACGGCTCCCTGGGCAGTTCACAACAGATCACAAACTCACTACAGATAAAATGCAGCATACAATTTCAGTTTGAAACAATTTAAGCATTTGAACATAATTTCAATAACATACTAGACTTGTTAAAGGCAGCTTTCCTGCATCTGTCCTGCAGCCACTTACCAATAAGTTCCATGGAATTCAGAGGTCAGAGCAAAGATGAGTAGGAATATGAAGGTAAAATGCTGCTTTGGGAACATTAGAAACTGTTGATTACTAAATTTAAGTAATCTGCATGAAATCCTGAGAAAAAGATCTGTTCAGTGACCTGTAAGTTATTTGTGCAGTTGCATGGGTAGTTTGTCATATGGTGTTCCTTATTTTGTCATATGGTGTTCCTCATTATGTGTGCAATAGTACAGAATACAGGAGATCCCATTTAATAGCAGGAGGCAGGCTTAATTACATAGTTCTAGAAAGAAAGAAAAACAATATGAGCCTCTTGTTCATATTGCTGGAAACTGATTTGGTACAATTTACAAATCAATACTGCTTTCTGTTGTACCTTTGGATTCTTCTGGTATTTGAATAGAAGTTGGAGTCTTTTCATTAAACTGCAGTGCCGCTAAAATAACAGCTTTTTCAGTGCAATAAAAATAAGCTTGGTTGTGATTTGTGTTCTCTGCTGCATCTTGGAAAGTTAATATATAGGAGAGTTAATACATAGGAGATTTAACCTGAATAAAACATGGTAAGATGATTGATACTTCCTCCTGGCAAATTTTAGAGAGGGTTAAAAATGTTATATTATCACCCAATAATAATTATTAAAGAACCTGTCTGCAAATGGAAGAAGGACAGATGAAGGAGAATGATAGTGATAAATTTACATCCTTCCTGTCTATTAGGGGCAGGAAATAACCCCTGCTCCCAAATTGCAGAGGGACTTGTTTCTCCAAAGCTCCAGAGATGGCGCACAATGGATTCTGTAAATGTGTGGATTGTTTCTGCAGTTTTGATAAACTTGAAACTTTAAAAGCAAGTGACAAAAAGCAATACAATTACTTGAGGCTAGATAGTATTTTGGAATGGGGAAAACCTTGCTTGCTAAAAGTGGAGCTAGAGCTTCATTCACAGTGCTTTGAAAAACGTTGCATGTATACTAGCTGTGGGCAGAGTGGCATAAACAATGCAATCCTATGTATATACCACTCATTCATAAAGCCTACTGCTAATTATGCATAAAGAAGAGAGCTGTTGTTGTTTGTTGCAGAGTCGTGTCCGACCCATCGCGACCCCATGGACAACACTCCTCCAGGCCTTCCTGTCCCCCACCATCCCCCGGAGTCCACCTAAGCTCACACCGACTGCTTCAGTGACTCCATCCAGCCACCTCATCCTCTGCCGTCCCGTTCTTCTTTTGCCATCTATTGTTCCCAGCATTAGGCTCTTCTCCAGTGAGTCCTTCCTTCTCATTAGGTGGCCAAAGTATTTGCGTTTCATCTTCAGGATCTGGCTTTCTAAAGAGCAGTCAGGGTTGATCTCCTCTAGGACTGACCGGTTTGATCTCCTTGCGGTCCAAGGGACTCGCAGGAGTCTCCTCCAGCACCACAATTCAAAGGCTTCAATCCTTCTACGCTCAGCATTCCTTATGGTCCAACTTTCACAGCCACACATTGCAACTGGGAAAACCATAGCCTGGGAAAACCATAGTAATTTGGTATACAGTGAAGATTATATCCCATCTTTCATGCAATAAGTACTTCATGTATTTGTATTTCATTGTTGTACTTCACAACAACTCTATGAAGTAGGTTAGAGCGAGAGAGAACTCAAGCAGAAGATATTACAAGTGTATCGATGAAGCCGCCAGGGGAAGTGATTCAAATCGAACCTTTGCTCCTTTATCCCCTCTTGCTGGTGGTATGCTTTTATGCTGAGGTAAGAAGTAACTATGTGGCTAAAGGGTTAAGCCCCTCGTCCTTCTCTTCAAAACAAAACATGCGCAGGCGATTTGATCCTTTACTCCTGAGCGGCATAGTAACCGTATCCTAGACCTAAGGAAACTCTAATCCTTGATGCGTGCGCGGGACTTGGTTGCGATCTTCACGAGGATTTGAGGACTCTGAATCGTCTCTTCGTCATCACAGCCTAATCCTGTGCATCCATCCGGGCTTAAGATCACTTTAGGGCTGGGACAGGGTTGCTCCGCTACTCCGTAGAGAGAGGAAACACTCGGTATATGGTCAGAGGCGCTCTGTTCTTCAGTCTTAGGGTGCAAAGACTTGAGCTGCAGCACCGGTTCCGGATCGCGCATTGCTTTTGAACACTTCCCCATGAAGGCGGCGCTGAGCCGTGAGCCAAGAGAAGGGACTGGGTCCCGCGGTCTGGGTCCTCGCCGTCAAACAGCCGGAGGAGGTTTCTGCCGGGGAAGAGCCTGCGCGCTCCCGCGGTTCCCCTCGTTCCCTTAGCTCCGGCTGGTTGCAGGCATTGGGAGAGAGCTGGCGCCGCCCGCCACTTGCTGGCGGCCGCTGTCCGATGCCTATTTTAGTCAAAACCTCCTCCCGGAGGGTCGCGAGTGCTCCCCGCAGGCTCCTTTAGCAGGCGCAGCGGAGCAAGAGGGCCGCCGCAGGAGCTCGCGCTGGCGCGGCCACTTTTGGGGAAGGCGCCCCGAAAAGAAGCGGGACGAGCAGGTAAGGGCACTGACGGGCGAGAAGCCGGGCGGAGAGTGAGAGCCGAGGGCGCGGGCGCCTCGGCGCGGGAAAACAAGGGAGGAAGAGCGTGAGAGCCGAGGGCGCGGGCGGAAGCGCTGCAGCCCGAAGGAGCCCCGGGAAAGGCGGCTGCCGCACGCGCGGGGCGGGCGCACAGCACTCGGCGCTGCTTGCTGCGGCGCGCTGGCTTGTTGCGCGCCTTCCTCTGGCAGTAGCGCTGCGCTGCGCTGCGCTGCGCTGGCCGCTTCCCGAGGAGAACAACCCGCGCAAAGTAGGCGCGGCGGGGCGGGGGGGGGGGTGGGAAGGAGCTTTGGCTTAGCGGCCGCCCTCCGCAGGGGTGCGTTGGTGCCCCGGCGGGCTGCCCTGCTGCCATTAATTCGCCTGCTCTGCCGCTGCTTTCGATCGCGTGGAGGGACGTTTCCGGCGGTCTCGGACGCACCGGGTGCTGCGCATCCCGCGCCCCTCGCAGAGGCCATGCACGCGCCCCTTGCAAGAGGTGCTGGGCCCCGGACGCTGGGCAGCAGGCGGCCGCTCAGTTCGTGGAGGCAGAAATTCATTTCCCAATTAGTTACGCCAACCCGCTCCCCAGCAAGGCCGAGGGAGTTAATTCCAAATTGTTTTCAGATCCCCTCTATAAGACAGCTTTAGTCTTTTTCTGAGAAAAGTGACTGACAGATTTAATATATAATCATGTTCAGGTCCCTTCTTTTTTCAGAGGAACTCATAGCCGCACAGGATGAGTTCCCAGCCGACCCAGACCAGGTTAGCTTCTGTAAGGTTGTTGCATCATCTGCCTTGAGATATTCTATTTTCTTACACTCCAGCGCTGAGAGGCATCAATGTTGCATTGTACTGTTTTAAAATTGCATTTTAAATGTGATTTTAATCATGCTTTTCAGTATTCCCATGAAAACTGCTTAGGGATTGTTTAAATATTTAGCAGAATATAAATGGTTACAATAAATGAATATCTTCACTCCCCCTTTCAACCCCCTCCTCCTATGACCTGAGCCCTGCATTTTGAAATGAACAGAGCCTTTGAGAGTGGAGATCTTGCTTAATGTGACTTAGAGGCACTCTGAACATACTCGAACGTCCAGACACTTTTTGTATGGCACCACAGGCTCTTTGGATAAGGCCTCATGCTTGCAATTGGAGGATAAAGCTAAGCCTAGCTGAGCACCTTTTGTCTTCCCCAGCATGGACCCTCTTGTCCACCGCATTTGGAGTTGCCTGCATCTGTGTGGTGCTGAATGTGGAACCGCTTCAGAGAGGAAAGGAAGCGATAAGTGTGCCTTGTCAGTCCCTGTTCCCAAAGTGTTCCACTGCTATTTTCAGTTGCGCTGGTCCTTGGTGAGGAATGCCAGCTGTACTTTGGCAGTAGGACTTGGCTGGTATCAACCCCTTATCATCCCCTTCCATTTTTGTCAGTCCCCCCAGTTGCTAATTGGTGAGAGTCGCCTGCTGCTACTTGGTTTCACACATTTCAGGACAGTGGGTGGTATCCTGTGAACCCCTGCTGTTATGACTTCCCTCTGTGGAACAAGGGGAAGCAATTCTCTTTCCTGGTCAAGCCTGCTTTGAACTTTGAGGTAATGCTTGTGAAATGAACTTTGTCCAGTGGGCTTCTGTAGAGCCATACTAGATTATATGTTTTATATTCGCAGGACTGCAGCTATAAAGAGGAAAAATGTGTGCAGTGCTAAATTAATTATACAACTGCATAATTCTCTCTGTCCTGTAGGCTTATAGTATCTTTTCCTTCTCAGATGTATCTTTTAAAACATGCCATAAAACATCAACAATATCTTGAATGGATAATTTTGTTGGACATTTATATGAAAAGGGTGATGTGGAACCCTTAAAAAAGGTGAAAATGTTGTCTGTTTCTTTGCAGGACTACTTGACTATTTATAAGGACACTTTCTCTGAAGCAACAAAAAGCCAGGTGATGTAAACAAGATAGTGGGAATTATGATGTCTGTAGATCAGTCATCTGATGTAGGAGTCAATATTTTATGGCACTGAAGTTCAGTTTATCTTTTTTCCGTTTGACTCCCAAAGCAATTTGTCTTCACTCCCTAGCAAACCTATTTGCTTAGGACTTGTATATCTGCAGTACTCAGCCATAGACAGCTATTATCATTCATCCATATCTGTTTATAGTACTTGTATAATGCAAGATATGTAATACTCCAGTATTTTTTCTGACTTCACTGAGGCAAAGGACCAGAGTAGGTGAAATGTGACAGATATGTGGAATATCTCCAGCAAGTATTTGCTTTTACTTTGCTACTGCTATAAGGAACTCCCAAGTCAGACTGCCAGCAGTATGGAGTGCCTTTAAACTGAGCCATCTTGAATTCCCTAATGCAAGAAGGGTGGGATATAAATTGAATTAAGTTTCCCCCAGGCCATTTCCCTTATTGAAAATTGCATATGGATGTTCAGGAAGGAATTATGTAATGTTAGCCAGCGTGACTGAGACTACAGTGCCCTGCTCATATGGAAATAAACCTTTTTAAGTAATGCCTGGATAGGGCTAAAGGATGCTGTTTTTGTTAGAACAATTCTTTTGCTCTTATGCAAACTTATGCAGAGTCTACTGGTTAACCAATACAAGTTAAATGTACGTTAGTCATCTAAGTTCTCTAAGGGAGTGACCATAGTATTTGCTTTGTATGTAGCAAGACTGATCCTCAGCATTTCCTAGTAGGGCCAGGAAGCAAATATTCCTGAAACCTGGAGCACCTCTGGAAGCCACATAGAGACAAGAGGGCTTAGATGGATCAGAGGTCTGGTGCAGCATAAGGCAGGTTTCTATGTTCCCTGAGTCATAGTTTTAGAAAGTGAATCAAAATTAAAAATCAGTAAATCTGTTTGCCCTTGGTGTGCTATTTAGCATTTTTGTTATGAAAACAGTAAAAAGTTACAGTTGCCATGAGTGAGATGCAGCTCGCCTTTAATACAAACAAGAAACAATAATGAAAACTGAACAAAAACAGAGGGAGCTGGTGCCAAACAAATAAATGTGAGTAGAAAGGAATTAGATTTCATATTTCTTTAGTAAAACTTCTGCAGTTTTCTATAGGCTATTTATCAAGGGCCGGCTGTATTTTTCAGTAAGACGTGTACTTCACTTATGTCCATGCATGGGCAGTTCTGATGAGGAATAAAATTCATTATCAGTCCTTGTGTCAAGTTTGAAGATAAGTAAACCTATTTCTGCAGCACTTTAAAATTGGCTGTCAGAAAAATTGTGCTGTCTTTTGGTTCTTACTATCTGCTTCCTAGCATTGTAATAAGTACTATATTTAGTAGTACTGCTTAATGTCTCTGCTACATGGCAGCTTGATAGGTGTGGGATAGATAAGGTGAACAACTTTATTTTTAAGTAGTCCATGCTAAAACTTACTCAGAGCATAGAAGCCAGCCTCTGTTCTATAGGCCACTTTGCTGAATGTATTCCAGGAATACAGAAAAGTGTTAGGGGTTACCATTTGAATTTTTCTGTAGAAAAATATCATGGGTCAGTTCTAACACAAAGCATGTAAAAGTTGAAGTGATAGCATGGACACAATGTTGATCTTTTCAACGTGTTCATGTATGGAGTTTTAATTTCTTGAGGATTTGTCTTTATATATCCACAGCTTGAATACTTTGAAAACCTTGAAGATAAAACTATGGATTCAAACTGCAAGCATGAGTCATTGTATTGTATTTTACTACTTACCTTAATAATCTTTTAATATATTTATAGATTGACAGACGACTTCAAGATGAACTCCATAGAAGCCAGTTCAATCACAGTGACCCCTTTGAATTTCATCCCAGATCTCAGTAATGCCACCTCTGTGCCTTTGAACGAAACTGTGTGTGAAAATTGGCGCGAAATTCATCATCTTGTGTTTCATATGGCCAATATTTGTTTTGCGGTAGGATTGGTTATTCCAACCACTTACAATCTTCATATGATTGTCCTACGAGTCATGCTAACAATAGGTAAGGTATTCAATCTATGAAGTATAAATCAGATTTTGGGGGATTTAATTCCTTTAAGCAATTCTGAGCACTATGCCAAACAGGTTTTGATGAACACTAGTCCTCCCACTTTTTCCACATTAACACATAAACTGCTTTTGAAATTCCCTTATGTTTTGGAAGCATTTTGTCATCCTGTGCAGGATTCTGCATGAAGGTTGGTGTGACAAGTACCAATGTGGTTCACACATGACTTCTCTGTAGCCATAGAGCGGGAAGCATTGCTCTGGAATGCTTCAGGTGCTCCCACTGGATGAATTTGCTTGTGTGTTGAGCAGGGAAAAGGCCTTTACAATTGTAGTATCCCACGAGTAGAAAACATCCTTTCCTGATGGGGAAGACAAGTCTTTTTCCCACTCTAAGCTATTTGCACTGAAATTTTATGCGTATCTAGTCAGATCTATGTCCTGCTGATTTCAGTGGGACTTTTAAGTGAGTGTGAATAGGATTGCATCTTGCATTTTCAGTGGTTTGCAATCATGCTGTATTTCCATGTGTATGGTTTTATTAAATCCTTATCACTGCTATGCAGATACTGTCAAACTTGGTAATCATTGTTATTAAGTTTATGGCCTCTGTCTTTGAGGCACAACCTCAGAAGCCTATTCCGCTGCACTTTTAGTGGAGTAGAGAGCAATGTGTGTAAGTGCGTAAATTCTTTTCATCATTGGGAAAATTTGCATCAGTTTAGACTTCTTTATTGTCTGTGGAGAGATCTGCACAGATTTAACTTAAACTTCTGGGGAGATTTGTGTTAATATGCGAAAGCTTTAGTGAAGATCTATAGACATTTCCAGATTTTTTCTTTTTAATGACAAGTTCTGTTGTTAGTCACGAAGTCGTGTCCAACCCATCGCGACCCCATGGACAACATTCCTCCAGGCCTTCCTGTCCTCCACCATCCCCCTGAGTCCACTTAAGCTCACACCAACTGCTTCAGTGACTCTATCCAGCCACCTCATTCTCTGCCATCCCCTTCTTCTTTTGCTATCTATTGTTCCCAGCATTAGGCTCTTCTCCAGGGAGTCCTTCTCATTAGGTGGCCAAAGTATTTGAGTTTCATCTTCAGTGTCTGGCCTTCTAAAGAGCAGTCAGGGTTGATCTCCTCTAGGACTGACCGGTTTGATCACCTTGCGGTCCAAGGGACTCGCAGGAGTCTCCTCCAGCACCACAATTCAAAGGCCTCAATCTTTTTGCGCTCAGCCTTCCTTATGGTCCAGCTTTCACAGCCATACATTGCAACTGGGAAAACCATAGCCTTGACTATACGCACTTTTGTTGGCAGGGTGATGTCTCTGCTTTTTAGTATGCTGTCTAGATTTGCCATAGTTTTCCTCCCCAGGAGCAAGCATCTTTTAATTTCTTGGCTGCAGTCCCCGTCTGCGGTGATCTTGGAGCCCAGGAAAATAAAATCTGTCACTACCTCCATTTCTTCCCCATCTATTTGCCAGGAAGTGAGAGGACTGGATGCCATGAGCTTAGTTTTCTTAATGTTGAGTTTCAAGCCAACTTTTGCGCTCTCCTCCTTCACCCGCATCAAGAGGCTCTTCAGATCCTCTTCACTTTCTGCCATCAGAGTGGTATCATCTGCATATCTGAGGTTGTTGATATTTCACCCAGCAATCTTAATTCCAACTGGTGATTCATCTAGCCCTGCCTTTCTCATGATGTGCTCTGCATATAAGTTAAATAGACAGGGTGACAGGACACAGCCTTGCCGAACTCCTTTCTCAATTTTGAACCAAGCAGCGGTTCCATGTCCAGTTCTCACTGTTGCTTCTTGACCCGCATAAAAGTTTCTCAAGAGACAAATAAGATGGTCTGGTACTCCCATCTCTTTAAGAACTTGCCACAATTTGTTGTGATCCACACAATCAAAGGCTTTAGCATAGTCAATGAAGCAGATGTTTTTCCGGAACTTCCTAGCTTTCTCCATGATCCAGTGTATGTTGGCAATTTGATTTGTAGTTCCTCTCCCTCTTCGAAATCCTGCCTGTACTTCTGGTAGTTCTCGGTCCACATACTGCTGGAACCTAGCTTGTAGGATTTTGAGCATAACTTTGCTAGCATGTGAAATTAGTGCAATGGTGCGGTAGTTTGAACATTCTTTGGCATTGCCCTTCTTTGGGATCAGAATGTAAACTGACCTTTTCCAATCCTGTGGCCACTGCTGAGTTTTCCAAATTTGCTGGCATATTGAGTGTAGCACTTTTATTGCATTGTCTTTTAAGATTTTGAATAGCTCAGCTGGAATACTGTCACCTCCACTAGCTTTGTTGCTGCTCAGACTTCCTAAGGCCCATTTGACTTTGCATTCCAGGATGTCCAACTCGAGGTCAGTGACCACCCCATTGTGGTTATCAGGGACATTAAGCTCTTTCTTGTATAGTTCTTCTGTGTAATCTTGCCACTTCTTCTTAATCTCTTCTGCCTCTGTTAGGTCCCTGCCATTTTGGTCCTTTATCATGCCCATCTTTGCATGAAACGTTCCCTTCATATCTCCAATTTTCTTGAAGAGATCTCTGGTCCTCCCTATTCTATTGTTTTCTTCTATTTCTTTGCACTGTTCATTTAAGAAGGCATTCTTATCTCTTCCAGCTATTCTCTGGAATTCTGCATTCAATTGGGTGTATCTTTCTCTTTCTCCCTTGCCTTTTGTTTCCTATCTTTCCTCAGCTATTTGTAAAGCTTTCTCAGACAGCCATTTTGCTTTCTTGCATTTCTTTTTCTTTGGGATGGTTTTAGTTGCTGCCTCTTGTACAATGTTGCAAACCTCTGTCCATAGTTTTTCAGGCACTCTGTCTATCAGATCTAATTCCTTACATCTTTTTGTCACCTCTACTGTATATTCATCAGGGATATGATTGAGGTCATATCTGAGTGGCCTAGTGCTTTTCCCTACTTTCTTCAATTTAAGCCTAAATTTTGCAACAAGAAGCTCATGATCTGAGCCACAGTCAGCTCCTGGTCTAGTTTTTACTGACTGTATAGAGCAGGGGTCTCAAACTCACGGCCCGTGGGCCAATTGCTGGGATGGGCGGGGCATGGGGGAGGGGCCCTGCGGCCTTCAAAGTGCCAGAGGCACCTGGGCCAGCCTCTGGGAGCAATGCGGGATGAGCGGCCCACCACCACCGCGGTGGTGTAATACTTGATGTGGCCCAGCCTCACCCAGACTCTACTTCCAGAGGCCCCCAGGTAAGTTGAATTTGAGACCCCTGGTATAGAGCTTCTCCATCTTTGGCTGCAGAGCACATAGTCAATCTGATTTCTGTGTTGACCGTCTGGTGATGTCCATGTGTAGAGTCGTCTCTTGAGTTGTTGGAAAAGAGTGTTTGCTATGACCATCATACTCTCTTGAGAAAATTCTACCAGCCTGTGCCCTGCTTCATTTTGTACTCCAAGGCCAAACTTGCCTGTTATTCCAGTTATCTTTTGGCTTCCTACTTTAGCATTCCAATCCCCCATGATGATAAGGACATAATTTTTTGGAGTTAATGCTAGAAGGTGTTGTAGGCCTTCATAGAACCGGTCAACTTCAGCCTCTTCAGCACCAGTGGTTGGGGCATAGACTTGGACTATTGTGATGTTGAATGGTTTTCCTTGGATTCGAACTGAGATCATTCTGTCATTTTGGAGATTCTATCCCAGTACTGCTTTTCCTACTCTTTTATTGACTATGAAAGCTACTCCACTCTTCTGAGGGATTCTTGCCCACAATAGTATACCTGATGGTCATCTGAATTAAATTCACCCATTCCTGTCCATTTTAGTTCACTGATTCCTAAGATGTTATTGTTCAGTCTTGTCATCTCTTGTTTGACCACGTCCAGCTTGCCTTGATTCATGGATCTTACGTTCCAGGTTCCTATGGAATATAGCTCTTTGCAGCATCGGACTTTCCTTTCACCTTCAGATACATCGGCAACTGAGTGTCCTTGCGGCTTTGACCCAGTCGCTTCATTCTTTCTGGTACTACTAGTACTAGCCCTCCGCTCTTCCCCAGTAGCATATTGGACACCTTCCGACCTGAGGGGCTCATCTTCCGGCGTCATATCTTTTTGCCTTTTGGTACTGTCTATGGGGTTTTCATGGCAAAGATACTGGAGTGGGCTGCCATTTCCTTCTCCAGTGGATCTCATTTTGTCAGAGCTCTCTGCTATGACCTGTCCGTCTTGGGTGGCCCTGCACAGAATAGCTCATAGCTTCATTGAGCTACACAAGCCCCTTCGCCACGACAAGGCAGTGATCCATGAAAAGGGATGACAAGTTAAATTTTTGCAAATCTTCCTGTAAGTTGGAAAGCGAAGGTGCTGTCTGCAAAGGCAACAAAGTGGAAGAATAAATTGACAAGTTTCTTTTCAAGACACAATAGAGAGTGGATACAGTTTATGAAGACTGACTGGTGTTTTCCCTGTTCTTGCCAGGTGCTCCTAGACCTTTCTTACAAAATGTACTTGAGCCAGTCTGCTAGATTCAGTCTCACAAGCCACCCTGAAAACAACCCAGCCACAAGCCACGAGTTCTCAGGGTAGCTTGTGCGTGGTTAACAAACCACACTGAAGAAAATGTCCTAGACTAAGATTCACAAGAAACCTGGAACAAACAAGTCTGACAACCCACTGTGGGTTGTTGTGTTATTGTGAACAGTTTGACTGTGTTATTTGACATAGGGTTGTTTGCTTGTTTGTTTGCGTGGGGTCTTCTGGAAGCTTCTTTAGATATTTGTTTTAATAGGGAAGTAATCAGTAAATAGTTTAAACAAATAAATGTGCTTTCTTCTTGTGTTTTCACTGTAACAATTATATGCATAGGTGACTTGTACAGCCTCCATACTTCTTGAGGGAGAAATACCGCAGGTGGTTGCCTTGGGGTTGCTAATATATAAATGGGCTTCTTTTCTTGGAATAGCTGACTGTAGCAGCCGTATGAGCCAATCATGGTCACTCGCTGGTAATGTTCTAGACTGCATGCAGGGAGGGGCAAAAGGCCATATCCATACATATGCACCGCTGTGTGACACATTTCATCTTTGGCAGGGTGTGCACTTTTCATCATCTGGGCAACACTTTTCCGTTGTGCTCTGGATATAATGATTTGGAATTCAGTATTCCTTATTATCAACCTTCTGCACTGTATATATTTGCTATACAAGAGAAGACCGGTATGTACAACTAAATTACTGATATATTGCTCAATGACTGTGCTCTGGTGTTGTTTCTAACATGTCTGTAAGGTGCTCATTGGCAGATCCCTTATGATTAATGTACATCTTTCTGTATATACACAATAGTTTTGCTTCTCTTCGTTTTTAGTTTCCCTTTTAAAAAATACTGTGTTTTATGGAGTCTAATATTTTGGGGGGTACCTGGACCGATGCCTTCAGCTGTTCATTTTTCATGGCCTACAGTCTCAGTTCAGGCTGAATCCAGCGTACACAAAGCAGAAGGAACCATTGTCAGAAGTAGTCTGCTACTCAGTTTCACTGATCGGTATCTCCATGGATACCTCCACTGGACCCCTTTGTCACTGGAGGGTAGCCAACTGCATACACCCCTTCGCCTTTTTTAGAGACTTGTTGAGAGAGCTGGTGCTATTTTCTAACATGCAGTCAGGATTGTGCATATTTACACAAATGGGGCAGAAATCATCGAAGGAAACATGGAAACAGTTCAAAGCTGGAAGTCTCTGGAGTGATTTGGCATTTCTGCATGGTGTGCCATACCATGTTGGACTAGTTGTAGGCAAAACAACCCATGGTGTGTCTGAGAGACAGTTAGCCTCCCTTGCAGATTCTTGGCTACGTTCCCCAGTTGTACTTGTGCAAGTACCTTTAAAAACGCACAGATATTAAAAAATAATGAGGGAGAGGAGAAATAGTATTATAAAATAATAGAGTTGGATGGGTCTATAAGGCCATGAATTACTTTCAATGTGGGAGAACCCCACAGCCTTCCTAGGTAATTTGTTCCTTTTCCATACTGCTCTAACAGTCAGGAAGTTTTTCCTGATGCAACTTGAGCCTGTTATTCTATATCCTGCACTCTGGCATGATTGAGAATGGATTCTGTCCCACCTTTGTGTGACAGTCTTTCAGAAATGCTATCATGTCTCCCCTTGGCTTTCTTTGGTTCAGGCTAAACATACACAGTTCTTTCAATCTTTCCTCATAGGGCTTTGTTTATAGTCCTCTGATCATCTTTGTTGCCCTCCTCTGAACTTTTCCCAGTTTGCCACATTTGTTTGAAGTGTGGTGCTCAGAACTGGAAACAGTACTCGAGATAGAACCTAACTAGTGCCAAGTAGAGGAACACCAGTACCTCACATGATTTGGAAGTGCTGTTACTATTAATGCAGGCCAAAATAGCATTGGCTGGTTGACGGGCTGGCCAGCCGGCCGGCCTACCCACCTATTTTCAGCCACATCATGTTGTTGGCTCATATTCAGCTTGTGATCTACAATAATTCCAAGATCCTTCTTGCTTGTATTGTTGAGCCAAGTATCCCCCAACTTGTAACTGTATTCAGCTGCGTTGTCCCTGTTAATTTCCATTCTGTTGTTTTCAGCCCAGTGTTCCAGTCTATCACGATCACTTTGAATTTTGTTCCTCCTTTTCAAGGTATTAGCTGTCCAGCTCAGTTTAGTGTCAACTGCAAATCTGATGCACGTTCTCTGCACTTGCTCATCCAAATCATTAATAAAAATGCTGAAGTGCACTGGGCCCAGGACTGACCCCTGCAGTGTCCCATGTGATATTTCTCCCCAGTCCAAGGCAGTCTTTGGGTCTGATTCTGTAGCCAACTGTGGATTCACCTAAGAGTTCTTCCGATGATGAAGTCTGGCAAACCTGGACAGCTGCTCCCAGTGTCACTGGGGCACTTCGAAGAGCCTGTCCCTAGCTGTCAGCTTTTGCGATGTCAAAGAAATAAAAATCCTATTTGTTTAGCTGGTGCTCAAACCTTTCCTGTTTTTGCTCTCCTCATATCCACTTTCTCTTCTCTCTGCAAACATCACTGGTATCTTGCTCAAGCTTCCAGGGATTTTTGGAATTGCTAGGATGAAACAGTATTTTTGGCTATATTGTTTCAGGAGGATGTTTAGATTTAGCCAACTTTCCACCCTCTTTCTTGTTTTGGTAGATAAAAGAGCATAGAATATTAGTTTCACTTTTCTTAGTAGCAATGTCTTATGATGGGCTGGCATGCCTCAGCTCATCTATTGAGTTCAGGTATGATCTGAGCTGGATACTTCCTGATTCATACCTGAGTCTCTTAAGGTGCAGTTGAATACACGTTTAGACAAGAAAGGGCTAATGACCACAAAAGGCTGGCTGGTACTTTCTGCAAGTTGTGGGAATTTTTTCTGTCTCAGTGTGCATACATAGGATTGGACCCTTAGTCATGTTTTCCTGTGTGACACCAGAAAAAGAAGTAATTCAGGGAAAAGAGGAACTATCCCAGTCTGTTTATTGCAATAGAATCCTGCTTGTGTCTATATCTTTCTAAGTATATTGTATTTTTGTTTGCAGCTATGAATGTGGTATCAAAATGGAACAACGTTTCATTTTCCTTTTTTTTAAAGCATGATTGCAGCAAACAGTTTTTGTTAACTGACTGTTTGGGGGAAATGTCCACAAGAGATGCCAGTGGCAAGGTCCTAAATGTACAATGTTAGAAAGACCATAAACACTGACTCATTTGATAAAATGCTCATCTGGAGCTAGTAGTTACTCCCATATCTGAGTTCCTCTGGTATCTCCTGACTTAAATTTGTCCAGTAGTGTTTCTTTGAACAGGAAAAAATGCTCCTTCAAACTCTTACGTAGGTAAAAGCACATGTTAGACATAGAGTTGTGGGGTAGCCCGCTCGTCACCTTTTTTGACACTACTGTGGAATGAGGGGTTACTTATTTGCCTGTATCTATGTGTTTATGGAAGAAGGGATCATTTGTAGCATTTCAGTTTTAACTGAAACAAGATTTTGTCTTAAAACATCTCACTTCAGCCTTTTTATGATTATGTTCCAGATAAAGATAGACAAAGAACTCAGTAGTCTGTATAAGAGAATGTTTGAACCACTCCACGTGCCTCCAGAGCTGTTCCAAAGACTGACGGGACAATTCTGCAATATCCAGACACTAAAAACTGGACAAGCATATGCTGCAGAGGATAAAACATCAGTGGATGATCGATTAAGTATTCTGCTAAAAGGAAAGTATGTACTTGAAGTAGGTTGAAGAAGAGCTATTCTTTGTACATTTTAATTGGGGAAAAAAAGAAAAGCAGGGCTGAAAGACTGTAGTATATATAGGTTAGGTCCCAGATTCTGCCTCTTGCAGACAGAAGATCACCTTCTGTGCATAGAAAGTTTTTGATCCAGTGACAAAATCTTGCTGGTACAACGGAAGAGGAAGAAATGATCTTTATTTATCCCATGCCCACACCCTTATTCCCTATGCTTCCCCAGATCCTCTGGGGAGGACTCTCTGAAACAGAGAAGAAGGTGGTGCTGGGGGCCACCGATGGAGAGGGGAGTTTGTCCAGATTGCCGCCACTTCTGCTTTGGGGAACATAGTGACCGGGTACAGATGCCATGTCGTGAGCCCCAGCATCTACAGGCACCAGATTGCGTAGGCTATCTTACTTGGGCTAAGCAACTTTCACATAAGCCTAAAGCAGACCATAGATTAAATGAAGGTTCTTTTAATCCTCACATAACCACACTTACAAGGTTCACATGATAGAACAACCCATGAGCAGAACATGGGTGGTCACACTGTGGTGCACTTTTGCATCATGTGAACAGCCTCGAAAACATGATATTTATTATTTATTTATTTAGGGAACTTCTATGCCGCCCCATTCACCGAAGCCTCGGGGCAGCTCACAAACATAAATAAATAACATCGTATAAAACAATATAATTTAACAGTATAAATTAAGTCGCCCTGGCCAAAGAATAAAATAAATAATACTAACAATTAAAATAACGTTTAAATAAAAAAGTCTTCGCCTGGCGCCGAAAAACAAATAATGACGGCGCCAGGCGGATATGCGGCATCGTGCTGGCAACTGTCTATTAGTCTGATGGCATTGCCCTCGTCATCCCTCCCACACCTCTGTACCACTCCAAAGTGTGTTGCAGAGAGTTTTCCTGCAACGTTGGAGCAGATCTTGGGGACATGTAAGGGAGTCCAGTGGTGGGAGATGAAATCATCTCTTCCCAGTGTTGCAGATTATATATTGCCATAGGATACTCTTATTGGACACCACTGAATTCCGCTGAAGCAATTCTGCTGCTGTTACTGGGGAAAAAAGCTGGATCCAGTTCATTAACTTTCATTGGCTTCCATTGTGCTTTCATTTGTAATTATATCGACTAACTTCTTAATTCAGTGAGTTTTGTCTGCCTGCGGGTCAAGGCAAAGTTTGGTTCTAGGGACATTTCATTGTCACCTGTTTCGTAAATGTCTAAGCTTTACTGATTTTTAAATGTGCGTGTGTGTGTGTGTGTACATGTATCTGATAAAAATCTGATTGAGTTTATGGAGTGACAGTTTGATGCCACCTGTACCCAAGGCACCTGTTGTAAAGGCAGACTACTTTAAGCAAGTGGTAACTTTTATTGTGCTCTTTGCTGCTTAAGCCACTTGCTTATTCCTGCCTCTCCCACCTCACCGTGCCACTGCACTCTGCAATGCGCCTTGTGTGCCTTAATTTCATAGCCCTTCACATCGCTTCTCCAGGGACTGCTCAGAAGTGTTAGATTATGTGTTTGGTTGACATTAAGGTTCGGTCTCAACTCTCTACATTTGATAACGATGTGAGTAGCATCCACCCTGGGGAGAAGAGAGTCCAGCCTGAATGCTAGAGAGAGGTTGATTCAGAAGTAGCTGCCAGATTGAACAAATGAAAATACAGAGCAAGATGGTTCCATAGAATTAGCTGTTGCATCTACTTTTTACTTTCATTTACTTTTTACTGACTCTTCCTCAAGTTCTTATTCAATAAGCTAGTGCACCTGAACAGTTTTGAGATAAGTAAACTTTATTTACATTTTCTAGACAATCCTGAATTGCAGTGAAAGTGTACAAGACTTCTGTCTCTTTTCAAAATGCTGTGTTTGTTTCCAAGAGAGATTCTCACTGGTCTCAAGAATTTGGCTAAAACAAGAGAAGTTAAGTGTGGGTGAACATGATAGAATACTAGCTTTTCTTGCTTATTTGTAAATGTGATGGTAAAATAGATTTAGTCTCGTTTCACTTAGAAGTGAAGCCTCGACTAGTTACGCAGAAACTAGAAACATGTTGACATACAGTTCTGTGAGCAGACTGCTTCTTAATGGTGGCTTTATTTTTGCAATACTTCCCTTGAATCACAGGTCTTTCATGTTAGTGAGAAGCAAGATAATTCTGCTCAGGATGTATACTTGAATCAGTATCCCAATGCTGTGTCCTAGTTTCAAAACCTGGTTCTAGAGTTAAGGGTTGGTGAGCCTTGGCTTCAATTAAGCTCAGGACAAAAACATGGCAAACTAATGGTTATACTGAACTAACAATTATGTAAACACGAATGAAGTTCAGTTGGTTCAATTAGTTTCTTTCTGTCTCTCAAGATTATCTGGCTTTAACTGAATGCTGCTGGAATTTTTCAGAATGAACCAAGTGATGTGTAATGAGAGGCTGTGTATAAATTGAATTGTTTCCAGGGTCGAGGGTTTATAAGGACAGCAGTTATGTTACATTACTTCATGCTAGGGAGTGGCTGAACTTAGGCCTGCAGTCTGCATTCATTGTGAAGTAAGGTCATAGTGTTATTAACCAGGCCAGTAGTTCTGCAGATGGACTCTGCACTTCAGTATTAATATTATTTCCAGAATACAGTGAGGTAGACAGAGTACAGTGAGCATGAGTGATAATTTGACGAAAACCCTCCAGTGAGAACGGCTTACATACTCTTTCCCTGCCTGGTATCTCTGTGAAGTGAGCACCTGGCTTAAGCCAGTAAGCAGAGACCTGCAGCCCACTCTGCTGATTTGTGCTGCTTGGATTCACTGTGTAGATTCACTGTAGTCTGTAGTTCACACACTATTCACTACAGTGTAGTGTGGAATGTACAGTATACTGTACATTCCACTGTACAGTGTAGTGATTCACTGTAGATTCACTGTGGACTGCACTGTAGTCATCTGTGGCAGTGGGGCAAAACTAGTACTATACTTTGGGGTCCCATTCCCCCCCACAACTTTAGCCTGCACATTTACCACTCTTGGTTTTTTTGTGGTGCAGAAGCATATCTGAACTGAGGTTAGAGCTAACCACAATTACCTTTAACCAAGGTTTGCTGATATCTTTTACCCTGAGAGGAAACTGGTTGACAACACTAAGTGATTAATAACCGTTAACCCTGCACCATGGCTGGGTCCAAGCCTGAAGGAATTGGTGCCTCTGCAGCTCTCCAGGGCATCTTGCAATTTTCGAACTGTGATTAGCAGGTCACGTATTTCATATGTACCATGCCTCGTGGACAATAGCTTCACTCCAGCCATTCCTGAAGTTGAATGAAGAGATATAAGCAGGAGTGGCAGATAATTAACTGCCCCAGATCACGAAAGTGATCCGGATGCTTCAGTTAGTCCAAAATAGAGCAGCCAGGTTGTTAACAGGGACTGGCAGATATGCTCACATAACACCAGTCCTTTACCATCTACACTGGCTACCAATTGGAAGTCCAGGCCCAATTTAAGGTGTTGGTGATAATCTATGAAGCCCTAAACGGTTTAGGACCTGGTTATCTGAAGGAGCGTCTTCTTCCCTATGTGCCCACCCACGCTTTAAGATCTGGATCGGAGGTCTTTCTTCGAGAGCCTTCTAGGAAAGAGATAAGGAGAGTTGCTACCTGGAGGAGGGCCTTCTCTGTGGTGGTGCCTCAGCTGTGAAACATGCTCTCCAGAAAGCTGCGCCAGGCACCGACACTTTATTCTTTTTTGGTGTCAGGCCAAAACCTTTTTATTTTCCCATTATTTTAAGATACAATTTTTTATTTTAGTTGGGTTTTTATTATAGATATTATGCAGTCCCTTTGTTGCTGGACCATCCTGAGACTCTCATGTATAGGACAGGGTATAAAAGCTTTAAATAAGTAAATAATAAAAGTCATGTGGATTAACTTATGGATTAAATTATGACTCTACCATAGATTACTGTTTTGTAGTACTGATTAAATAGTTTACAACACAGATGTTATGAAATGATTTTAATAAATATTTTTATCATCAGAATGAAGGTCTCCTATCGAGGGCATTTCCTGCATAATATTTACCCCTGTGCCTTTATAGATTCTCCTGAATACCGATCAACTCAGATGAATCGAGGCGAGACGTTCCAGGTATGGGACTGTTCTATAGGGTGAGAATAGAATATGAGGTAAAATTCACTGATGAAGAAAATAGGGGGGTTAACAAAATTTTATGAGTGGCAATGAATTGTCAATTTTCTTGACTAACTTTATTTAGACAGGCTTTTAAAGCTTTAATGTTGGAACATAAAAACTTTATTATTCCCAATACAAAATATCTGTGTTGTGTTATTTACTAGCAGCTGTGAAATCATAACTTTTTATATTTAATATATTTTAAAGGCTTAATAATGTAAGGTATTGGAAAAGATAATCAGGTCAAACTGTTGTTGGAAGAAGCAAAGAAAAAGAAAATATTGACAATTAAAAGTTACTGGGATGTTCCTATTCCCTCCTTATGTATTTTATAGTGCTTTTGCTTATTGAGAAAATGTATTTGTAAGTGAATCTTACTGTTGGCTTAATATTGGAATATCTCTTAAAGATACATTCATTGTTTTCATAAGGCTGGTGATGGTTTTAGCCTTAAATTATAATTGTCCTGAGAGGAACACTGAAAGCAGGACAAAAGGGGGTATAGAACAGAGAACCAACATATTTTATACTTTAAATCATAAGGGAAATTCAGAAATCCATTAGTGTTTTTTCCCCTTTTTCTTCATCAGGGCAAAGCTGAGAGAAACAGCATTTGTTAATATTGGGCTTACCCCAGCCAGAGAACACAGAGATGGAAAACCAGTGGGAAAGGGATCAGGATGTGATAAAGTCAACAAGGCGACAAATAATAGGGAGGTTTTTTGTTTATGGAGGAACGGGGTGGGGGGCTTTTCCTTCTGAGTGCTGTTATTAGGGAATGACTGCTTGTCATCTCATACTCCCCTTCGGCTTTGCACTCTTACGTACTCTTTCAGAAACATGCCAGACCTTTTGAGCAAGAGACGACAGTGAGCAAAAGTGATGTTTCTGTATCTATGCCAGGAAATTTGTGCCCTTCAGCCCTATACCTGTAGTTCAATCACCACTCTTCACGGACCCCTTTTTAAAGAGAGCTGAAAGTGGCCGAAAATGATTGCCCACTTCCAGCCTAAGTGAAGATGGTGCTGAGGCTTGGCAGCTGTACAAGTGAAAGGGAGGTAGAGTAAGCAGTGGCTTGAAAAGCACCTGCTTGAGGGCATGGTAGATGGATGAGGTCATTTGTGGGGAAAACCTAATTTGTGGACTCACTACGCTGTTCATGGGGAAAGTATCCCAGGAACGGCTCTTTGAAGCAAAGTGACGGTGGGCCATGTGGTCAGATTTTCAAAACCACGCTTGGAATTTGTTTTGAAGTAGCCACCCAAATCTTGGGTTGCAGCTTTCCAGCAACTTTAGAATTGTAAGTGTTGTGAATATCCAGTAGCTATTTGATAGTAAAACAGAAACAGCAGTCTGGTACAGAGTCTAAAATTAGTGATCAGTGTAATTTGTTCCAGCTGACTGGGCCTAATGCCAAGGAAAGATAGTTATCAAGACAGATTCATCTCTGCTCTTGAAGTCAGTTATTGGAGACTTGCCCCGTTGCTAATGCCGTCTTTTCTCTGGGCATTGATTTGTTCTGTGCTGAGAGGGAATATCATCACTGCTGAATTTTTAAAAGGAGTAATTCACAGTATCCCCATCCTGCAAGTCAGCTTAAGTTCCAGCAAAACAAGCAGTGAACAAGAGAAGAGCTGCGTGTTCATTTCCACCTGAAGCTACATGTCACACATTGCTGGGTACTAACCGCTCAAACTTTTGGCATCAAATCCTGAACGTTCTGGTTGCTTAGCTCTTGTTTAGGTCAGGTTTCACTTACATTTGAATGAAAAATAGCCATGTTTTAATTGACTGCTAAACATTTCTCTCAAGCTACTCTTTCTAAATGTATCCTGTGGAAATATGGAAAATGCACATAAAATGTGCTAGTGCATGTGCTTCCTAATATGCTTGTATCTTGGCCATACAGTCTCTTGCTTTAACCTCATTTCAAAAGTAGCACATCCATCATTTATTTTCTGTAAAGATCGCTGACTATGTATTTCATACAGAAAGTGAGGGTGGAGGCAGGTGGGTTTTGTTTGGTGCACTGGTGCCACCTGCTGGACACAAGCTTGCATTGTTTTGAATAAACCAAAACCCTATTGTTTTTCTGTTATGGTTGTTTACCTTAAGTTCCAGTGAAACCATATAGAATCTATCTACAGATATTAAGAGTACGGGGAGAAATCTGGATGTTTAAATTAGTTTGAATCTTTCTTTTTCTTTTTTAAAGGTGACCTACTATCTTCACAGTTAAGCCTGCAGAGAATCAGGGAAGGCACCAGGATAGATCTGGTTGTCTTCAAACAGTGAAGCTTTATGTTTGTACTCAGAGCAGCTTTTTGCAACCTGAAATCCCAGCATGGCCATCACCTGTGCTTAACTGGAAATTATGGGAGTGGAGGACCTCAGCTTGGGGAAGGTTTTTCTAGAGTGCTGTGCCAAAAGTTGGGCCTGGACTATTTCTCTTTTAATTCCTCATCCTGAAATAGCTTTCTTTATAGGGTGCTTTTGAAACAAACAGAAATGGATTTGGAAAGCAAGTTTCCCAGATGTTCCTCACAACTTCTTGGAAAACCTGGGGAACCTGTTGGCCACAGCGCGTCACTGAGTTAAGAACATTCAGATTTGCATTGGTGGTGTGCTGTTTCATGGGAGAAAGAGCAGTTGCATCATTGCTTTTTGGACATCCAAACTGATTGTGCCGGGGGCAATGACACCCACTTAATTTCAAGACTGTGTTCTTTTCCTTAGGTCTCCATTACTGCTGATGATAACTGCAAATTTTTGTGCTGGTCCAGAGAGAGACTTGCATATTTCCTGGAATCTGAGCCATTTCTATTTGAAATATTTAAGTATCTTATTGGAAAGGATATTACAAACAAGCTGTACTCATTAAATGACCCAACTCTGAATGATAAGGTAAGCTATTTCCTCTCAAGTGCTATTTTGCTGCTGTAGTGCTGTGCTTTGTTGTGATCACTTTTTAAAAGCTTCCATTTCCATGACACTCAAGTATATAATTCTTCTAAATGCTCATTTGTAACTTTTCTTTAAACATAGTGGTGATGAATTAAATTTAAAACCAAAGGTGATATATGTACAACTGCTAGATGTTTGAGACTGACAGGGAATTGACGTTTCTGGAGACATCTGGATATAACCTATCAGTCAATGGCATGCTGAGCTTGATGAGGTCCTACTGTCATGCAATATAGTTTATAGAAATCTTTCATTGACACCTAGTTTTGTAACTAATTTGCTGTTCTTACAACCAACTCATAATTGTAGGCTTACTTGTACATATTCCCAAGTACTTAATTCCAGCTTTTGCTGCCTTTGCAGGCCAGAAGGGCAGCTGCATTGCAAGGGTTCCCAGTTGTATAGAGGAGATCTCATGAGTATAGCTGAATATGTTTCTAGTTATTGAAATTCATGTGTATAAAATACCTATCCAGTCTTGAAAAGTCACAATTACTAGCTGGTCCCAGTATGTGGAGAAGGAGCACGTTTAGTTTGATTAGTATCTCTCAGCCTGAGTTGCCCCACAAGGCTGATGTGAAAAAACTCACTGAAGCAATGCATGCTCTGCTCTGAACTCCTTGGATGTGGGGAAATGAACATGAACAAATTGTTCTTTTGATGATGGAGAATTCATAATAACATTTCTCTTTACAGACATCCCAGAAAATAGACAGGCAACCCAGTCTGTGCTCACAGCTCTCTGTCATGCAGATGAGGAACAGCATGGCTAGCTCAAGTGATGGCGAAGAGGGCTTGCAGAATTTTCTTCGTGGGACTTCCACTGCCTCCTCCCTTCGTGAGTCATTAACCAACCAGTCAACATGTCCAGGCATTTTTGAACATCTTCATTAGTTGCAAAGATCATGTTGCCTTTGGGGAACCAGCAGGAAAGGGTTTCATAAAAGCATTCATAGAATATCTCACCAGTATTTTTTAAAGTTCAGCTTCTGTTTGGGCTGTCTAGATCACATTACTGTGATTAGGTATTTTGAATGTGTGTGCATGATAAGGTTAGTCCTCACAGTGAACCATCACAGATCAAACACCACAGACCATTTTTTTAAATATGTGCACAGCCCTATTTAGCTATATATTTGTTCAGGCTTCTCAGGATGGAGAAGTTACGTCTTAGCACTGTTAGTTATCCAATACAGCATGTGAGTCGGAATCCCCCAACACACAAACACACTGAGTACAGAACATTTGCTGATCTGTACAGGAGCAATTGACTATGCCAGCTGGAAAAATTTTATGTCGAAAGAAGTGGGTGCGTTATCATTTTTTTGGGTCAATTTTGAATCAGAGATGCTAGAGCAAATTAGATTGGTTTAGAGACTCAAGCTACTGATATAGCCATATGTGTGTTTAATTACCCATCAACAAACCTAACTCTGTTTTTATGTGAATAATATAATCATCAAGTTTTCTGTATAGAGTGAATTGTGGAGTGAATCCTTTGCAGCTTCATGTTTTCTGTTGATAGCCTTACATATTAACCAACATTTTCCCCAGAAGGTTTTAAATCAGTCTTTAGAAATTATTACTTTATAGAAGTAGCTAATTAGTTTTGCAAAACTTGATGAAAATGTTAACGCAGAAAACTACCCACAAACATAGAAACGTAGAAACAGAGCGAGTCAAAAGGGGCCTCCCGGGCCATCTAGACTGACCTCCAGCAGCAGCCGGCTCCGCTCACGACATGCCCACCATGTGGACATCCAGCCTATCCTTGAACACCCGCACCGATGGGGCCTCAACGACGGCCTCAACATGTGAGCACTTCTGAAGAGAGCAGCACTTTAAGTAGTGCTAGTGATCCCTTACGTGGTTTCAGCATTACAAAATCACATCGGGCTGGAATATTAACATGATGGTGAACCCACTGCTAGACTGTTACATTTCTTATTCTTCCCAGTCATTTCCTTTTGGCTTGCAACTACTTCTCTCAGATCAACTTTGTACATTATAATACAAAGCAACCTGTAATCGCAAGGTCCTCACTCTTCCTCTTGCCACACTTCTCGGCATCATCTGTAGTAGAACTTCCATATCTCCTGCTGCTGGTTGTGGGGACAACTCAGAACAGATTGGAAATGTTTCTGTTTTGAGAAATACAGACAAACATGCAGCCCAAAAAGTTTAGACGGCACCTGCCCTTGTTGCTTTGTTCCATAACATCAGAAGGTTAGAATATTTAAAATAGTCACTGTATCCCAAGGACAGCCTCCTTTAGCATTTGATGTCCTCCAAATGTTTTGGATGTTAAGCCAAGTCATGGCCAATGACCAAACTGCTGGGAGTGGTGGTCCAAAGCATCTGGAAGACAGTGTTGGACATGGATGAATGTGACAGCAAGCATATTCGATCTGTGCCTCCGGGCAGCATTGTGTGTGAGGAGGAAGTAGCCCTTTTCTAGGTGTTTGAATGTAAGACAAACGTAAAGGGCCAGATCTGATCCTGAACTGTTTGGTTAACAGAGAAGGAAGCCTGGCTGGCTTTAGCATTTGCCAGAAGCAAGGGTGTGTATGAAGTGCAAAATCAGCAGCATACTCTGTGACCTTCTGCAGTAGAATGGATCCTGCAATGGAAGCCACCCCTTCCCCTGCCACCAGCCAGGTACATCCTGTGCAGCCGCTGCGAACGGCAGTTCTTCAGTATGCACAGAGATACCTAGCAGGCAGTTCTTCTCCAGGGTCACAGTGCACAGGCTGTGGTTATGCCAAGTTTAGTTTTGCCTTTGGTGTGCTCTGCCTTCACCTGCCTACATCAAGGTTTCCGATAGCCTTTAATCTTGAAAGAGAAGTAATGTAGGTCCTTCATCTGTACAATAAAATTGTGTTTTGATTGTGCAATGGGTCTGTGCCAAATGACCCCCCACCCCCAGTGATGTCTTCCCACTACGGTTTGCATCATAGTAAAGAGACCTGGACCTGTATTCCTCCCTAACAATCTTGAACGTGCATGGGGATCCATGGACCATCTGTGGCCCTAGATGGGAACAGATGAATCCACAACCAGGTCAGCAGTCGTTCCAGGCACCAAAACAGGGTAGTTGGACTACCCTTGCCTGGTCTATGGCATTTTTTTTCCATTGTCTGTGATGGATCCTGGAGGCAGACGTGCGTCCTTGCCCATTCCAGATCTCTCCACACAAGCATTGCAAGAGTGGGCCCCAATGCATCTGGAGCCCCAAATGGGGCAGAGGGAGCTTCTCACCATCGGAAAGTCCATATATATTGAGGCTTATATATATAAGCCTCATATTGCTTGTATATAAGCAATATATTCCTAGATCCAGTGGTCTAGGAATAGACCACTGGATAAGTCCAGAGGCACATGGATGTCTGCGGAGCACCAGGCACAAGGATCTTTTCCTCTGGTTTTCATAGCAGTTGTTGGTACAGAGCTTCATGCACTTCCTTTTGTGATGTAAGACACAGTCTAAAGAAAATGTTCAGGGAAATTGCAACTTGCAGCAAGTGCTGTGGAGGCAAACCTCACACCATGCCATTCTGGCACAAGCTGGCAACTGCCCTGCTTGTTTGGAAGGATGCGATGCCCAGCTAGCAAAAGGATTGCTTAGCTAGGTAACCTCAGCGAGCCAGGTATTGTGGCACCAACACCTGCCATCTCCAGCCCGTGATTTCTCCTGCCTGACTGCAGGCATGTCAAGTCATTTTGAGCCCTATGCTGCATGGCCATTTGTATTCGATATGCCCAGGTGGGTGTGGGTGCAGATGCTGGCTGCCTGCAAAATGTGCTCCACACACAGCTTTTGGGAATGACTGTCTATCGTTTGAGTCCTTCCCTACTCCCTCTGCTGGCTACCGGCTCTGCTTTCAGAACAAGGGCACCGACTACGTACACCTTGAGTTCAAGCAGCCAAACATATTCCTCTTCCCAGGAAGACAGCATGGCACTCTGATACGCCATGAGAACCTTGAGCCTTCTGTGGCTGTCAGAGTCGACCAGGGATGGCGGGAGGGGTGATGTGTGAACCCTGCTTCTTAGGCAACCGACAAGCATTGCCCTATCCAGGAGTGAAGAACAAGACAAAAACAACCAACAGAGTGAAACGCTTGGTTTACAAGTTGCATTTGAAAAGCAAGTATTTGCAGGGATCAGAGGGGAGAGGGGTCAGAAAACTTCCTGCCAGGTGCTGACAATGGCAAGACATGCCAAGAGCGGACCTGTAGTCAACAGGCTGTTGATGCAGTGAAGGGACAAAGACTTGCAGGATGGAAATTTCATAGGCCTTTGGAATATATGCTCATAGGAGGCAGGAGGAAACAAAGGAAACATCTCAAGGCAGCCCTTGAAGATGCTGGTGGTTTGCAAGCCCTGCCATGGGTTACGCAGTGACAGCCAGCCCACTTATTCTCAGGGTGGCCTAGCATGACGTGTAAATGTGACATCAGATGAAACCATGAGGGATTGATAATATTCAGTAGGATTTTTTATATAAGAGTTTTGAAAGTTGATTTTAAATGCTCTCCTTTTAAAAATCTTGACAGGCCAACCATCTCCTTGTTTAAGAACATCGCCAAAAATGAAACCAATAGAAGAAAGTGTGGAAGATGATGTTTTTGAACCTCCGTCGGCTACAACCTCCAAAGCTCCTTAAGAGATGCCACCTGTCAAAAAAATTTAGTGAATTACACAGAATGTTTTGCAAGTGTGGCAGTTGTGGAAAACACGATGATGTTGGCAAAGCTGATACCATTGTTCTGTGTGTTTTAACATATTTGCCACAAGGTCTCTACCAATAGGTTCTTACAGACTAACCCCAACCTTACTACCTTTTGTTTCAGTGATACTTGAAGCCCCATTGTGGGGATTTCTGTGCTTGGGTGGGTGAAATGCTGCTTCTGTGTCAGTAGAGCAGGAGGGGGCAGCAGGAATACGTTCTAGCATGCAGAAGGCATGGGCATTAATTGGAAAGTTTTCATTGTTCTATATATGTGGAGTAGACCTTCTGCAACCATAGCCAATTCCTGGATTTGAGCAAATGTAGCTTGAAGTACACAAAATGACTTGTTTCAAGAGTTATAGCTCTTAATTACATTGCAATTTACCGCATGGATTTATATGGAAAGTAGTATCATTAAAAATTGCAATATTATGTTAGCTTCTACAAGAGTAAGTGCAGCTTTAATGTACAGATGACCCAGATAATAAAAAAGCGGTACATTTTCCATAGCTTTGGGAACTGGAGAGCTACAACTCTGATGCTCTACTTGCAGAGGTACATCTCTCTCTCCCCCCCCCCCCCCCCTTTTACTTCCCAGTCTTCTCAAGCTCCCAGTAAGGGCATTCAAGTATGGTGGAAGCCTCACACTCACTCTGGAATGTGTGTGGGAGGGATACAGAGTTGACTCATCTCCCTACCTACTCTTTGTGCTAGGGCTGCTTCTTGAACAGAAATGTTGAATTATATTTTTCCTTTCTGACAACTCTTGTTTTGCTTGGCCCATGTTTATGTGTCATCTTTAAGAGTTTCACCATTCTATGCCTATTATTATTGGACCTAAATGATTAGTAACTTTTTCACATTAAGTATGTACTAAATTATTAGTAACTTTAAAACTAGAACAATGAGATGTTCAGTGTAATCTAGTGTTCATTGAATGTGGTGGGAATTGACTGCAGATAAATGTGCTCAGTTTGTTCAACATTAAAATTGGAGGGAGATTGACAATTATATTGATGAGACCTAGATTACACCAAAATTATGTATAAATTAGGAAACAGCATTTTATGTGTATTGATAATGGCAGACCATTTCGAAAAATAAAATTCACCTCTTTTTTGGAGCTTTACATAAGCACAGTATTATTGGCAACAATGGTAAATTGCAGTCTGTGCCACAAATGCTGATAGAGTGACTTAGTGCCTTTTGTTTTTCTTCACAGCTGTAATACATATTGAAGAGATAAGTAAGGAACATGATCAGCCAAAGATATGCACGTCCAGTTCTATTGCTTTAAACTGGTACCTTTTAAATCAAGAAGAGTTGAAAGTACATAATTTCAGCTGACTTTTTAATGTTATTGTAGAAATAGCAGATTGCAAAAAATAAAGCACAAACTTCTATTTTCTTAGGTTTATACTGGCAGGCACCTTAATGAAAAGTCTGTAAGACTGGGAGCAATAGGTTTGTCCTTAGCAAAAGTCTCTAAAAGAACAAATGCTAATTTATGTAAATAGGCATCTTTTTAGAGCTACATACTTACATGACTGAAGCTTTTGGGGCCTGTGAAGTTCAGTGTCTAGCAACCAATGCTCAGCTTTCTGAATAAACTCATGTTCTTTAGTTGTTTTTCTCTTGTAAAGCAGCTAAAAGAGCACCTTTGCTGGAAATATTCTTCATGGAAACCCTGCTTTCCATTACGATTATAGAAAAGTGAATGTGATGAGCTGGATCAACCAAAGTGACTTATATATACAATTAAGAGTTTAGTGTGGTGCAGTTATACTTCACTTGTGCATTGTGTCACTTCTGCAGAGTCCATCTGTTAATAACTGGATTGATGTTTTTGCAAAATTGTATATGCAGGAAGGGTTCATCTAACTTTTCTTTAAATAAAATAATTAAAACATATAGCTGCATTTTTTGAAAAATGGATTTGTGCGAACCTCATTTGACAGACAGAAATGCTAAATAGTACAAACTTTATACGTCATACTGTGAAACACGTATATGCTGGTGATTCTTACGAAGCACTGACCACATACTTATCAATGGCACCTTGTGCAGACATTTATGGGCTTACTCTGTTACAGGACTTCAGTACCCATGTTGAGCAGACCTTGTTGCAAACACCTCAGAACTTTGGAGGAACCTTATAACTGTCCCACAGTTACCCAGACAACAGTGAAGATTCTGATTTCGTTTAATTAAACCAGACTTTTAAAAACCAGAGTCCATTTTTTCCTAGAAAAAAGAAAGATTGTGTAAACCAGCCTGTGTAAATCTGGCTAAGCAGATTTAAAACTTGTTTTCTCTGCCATAGGGCTGGAACGGCTACTAGACATTTAAAATATGAACAAAATGAAGAAACTTATAAAGGGGGTAACTTGTGCAAGACACTAAGGTGATACTTGCTTTTCAAAGAGTAGGATAAGATTCCTGCCATTAAGAACATAAAAGCTGTGTTGGATCAGACCAAAGTCTGAGTTAATCCAGCATCTTCCTACAGTGGCCAACAAGTTACCTACTGGAATCCCACAAGCAAGTGTAATAACATCCTCTCATTCCTGTTCCCCAGTAACTGGTACAGAGAACCTCTGCTTCCGATACTAGAAGGAATATAGAGATCATGTGACTAGTAGCCATTGTTCGCTTCATCCTTTTTGAATTTGTTTAATCCTCTTTAAACTCCACATTGGTGGACTTTGCTTTGTCTTGTGGTGGATTAACTATCCACTGTGAATTAAGTCCTTCATTATCTTTACATTCTTTGTTACAATTCCAAATGCCTAAATCTTCCCTGGCTAAATAAAGTCCCATAGATTTTTCCCCATCCCATCCTATTCCCCTACTCTTGAATCTCACTTCTTCACTCAAAACCAGGAACAGGTGCTGCACCACAGTCCTCTACCATCTCAAGATCCTCCTGCCGCTTCTGGTTTCTAGGATGATTCAGATGATGCCAAGACTGCTTGAAGCAGATCTTTGTCTCAGCTATCAGTAATCTACCTTTGAGTAACTGGATTTTCCACAATTTTTTGGTTAGAACCTTTCACCGTGATCTTAGGGTGCACCCTTATTGGTCTTTTAGTAGCCAATCATTTCTGTGGACCATCCAACCATCAATCCAATTTAGTGACCTGTTAGCTAATCCAAGTTTTTTTAAAATTGTTTGCCTGGCACTTAAAGACACCTTTATGGGATTTAAGGGCACTTAAATGCTGCTGGTTATTTTCAAACTGTCGACGTGAAGTCTCTGTCCCATAGTAATCATAGCTAAGATGGCTGTAATTACCTTATTCCCAATGCAAATAGAAAAGCCAGGGTTGAGTCTACTTAGAGATAGTTTATTTAAAACTTTTATAGACCATCCATCTATAATGGTAATGATGGCATCTTGGGAGGGTTTGCAACAAGCAATGAGTTTACTTGATAAAAACATTACAAAACATACAAACTGTTCCTTCATGTGCTATTTGATAAGCTTTCTAGCAAGAATATCTTCATATGAGCTAGATTACTTTTTTAAGTGTAATGGAGAAACTATCATGTAAGTCAGAGTCAGAATCTGGTAACCATAAAAGGCATATGTTAGATCATATCAAATGTTTTTCTTTCATACAATGCTATTCACAGCTGTTTCTTATTTAAAAGGAATGGACTTCCAGGCCTAAAAAGATTAATAAGAGATGAAAAAGTGTCTTAATTAATTTGTCCTGACATTTCAACTTCCTGAGAGCAAGACTGCAGACTTGAGATTGGAAACATTGGAAAAATTACTAGCACCATGCGTTCCATCCATGCAAGACCACCCTGCATTTATCTTTTTTAAGGAGTGGGAGATCAAATAATAAATCTCTCTATACTGGCTAATTTAGCCTGCAGTCACTCTTTGGAGCACCATTACACAGTCGGAATAGATTTGGCATATTAATATAATTTAGAATTATCTGATGCATGGACAGAGTACTTTCCTCTCACCTCTGAGTAACCACAGAAAGATCAGTCCTACGAGGCTTAGTTCTTGATTTTTTTACTGCAACTTTGAATCTTTCAGGCTATGTTTGTATTACTCTCATTTCTTTCAAGGGAATCAGAGTAGGTTGCAAATTAGCTTTACCAGCATTTTACTCCCTTGCAAACCTTCTGTGCCTTTATGTGTGGATAAAGAGACGTTCTTCAGATTTTTCTGACACACAAATGGGGAAAAGAGGGTTCATTTATTCAAGTTAAGTGACAAGATGGGGAAGGGAAGACTGTCAGAAATGCCATCTGCAAACCCAGAGAAGGGTACCTTAGGCTGAAAGAACACCACACTGCGCTTAACAGTGTGGCAGACCTGGAGCCCCTCACAGGGACTTTCACAAGGATTTGACCACTACAACTGGCTCTCCTCAGAGGCAGTATAGTAAATTGAAGCAGCACAGGGCTCTCTTTCCTTATAAGCAGTTGGCAATTCAAGTGCACTTTGGGTGGTCCCAGATGTACAAGAATGCCCTTCCACCCCCAAAACAGGCTCGTGATCAGAGTTTTCAGCTGAATACCATCCGGTTCTAATAATGGATTGCACTTCAGTTTCTAATGTCCTCCTCAGTTTCCCCCTCAGAGATTAATAATATATTAAGACCACATCCTTGTTTCCTGTACAAAGTACTCTTGGGACTTGAATTCCCCTTCATCCTCTGTAGTAAAAGGTGAGGAAGAAGTGAAATTTTAACTACTGATGGACTTAAACTAAATGATTATTAGTCCAGCCCTTTAAGATCAGAAAGGAAAGCACCAGGATAGCTCTGTTCTCTCATGTTTCCTTGTCTGCACTTTTAGAAAAAGAGACATTACAGAATAAGTATCCACACTTGATGGCTCCAGGGTTGCAGCTGTCAAACCAGCAATGTACTCAAACAGAAGAACTGAGGAAATATGAGTGTATGTGCACACACAAAATCAAAATGTTACTTAGATGCCTTTAACTAAATGCATGTGTTATGGAGGCAAGCAATAGCTTATCCTACTGAATGCATGCTTAAATATTTGTGTGACAGGATTTCATGACTCTTATTCAGTACATTGCAATAGTACAATGTGGTTTTCAGCTCAATCAAAAGCACAGAAATTCAGCATTTATGAGCTTAAGAAAATGGTCAGTAACCAGTGCTAGCACATCCTTAGCACTTTCTAAGAAAAAGGAAACAGCAATGACCTGGCACCAAATTTGTGTAGAGAAATACCACTTTCCCCCTAGTATCGTGGTAGCATTGGACACTGCCCTTTCTGTGCTTCCTTTTGCCATTGAATGCAAGGGGATTCAAATTTGCCAGACCCAAGTCCTCTGTTTGTAGAGCAGAGTCTATATGCGCTTGTATGCATTTGGAACAGTGTTCAGTCTTTAGGCACTTTACACACTGCTTCATGAGATCAGAACCTGGGTGGGTCAAGGAACAATTGCTGTGTATAACACTCAAAGGACTGGGACAACTGGAGAGTTTTCCTGTGTTTTAACTCTCATTTCTTAAAATTATTCTGTTGTTATTTTAATAGTAGAATTCTCACTTTTTATTATTCAATGTATATACCACTTCCCACATTATCCAAGTTGTGAATATACAATGGCATCAAAATAACCAGAAATATAACAATAAAATGGCACAATATGAATCAGTCAGCCAGGAAACTTCACACTGTATGGAGTGCTACAAACCAGAGATGGCTGAACTACAATTCAGAGAAAGCCTGTGTGGAGAGAATTGTGCATTCTTTAAAGCACAATTCTGTGCTGCTTTTGATGGTTCAAATGGCTATAGATAAAGATAAAACACTGGGAGTTTTAGGCCTAAACTTGCATAGGATCACACCTTAAATGCAGAACTGTGAAGGCCTATCTAATGCCAAGGCTGAAGCATTCCAAGGCATAAGTATTGCAACCCTGAATACTGTGTGTATTGCAGGCATACAGCATCATACTACACACGCTTTGAAGAAAGCCATAAATATAGAAAGAAAAAATAATTCAACCCTAAACCTGTTTACTCAGGAATGTCCAACCATTTTTAATGGGGCTTTCTCCCCAGGTAAGTCTTAACTGGTTTGCAGACTGAGTGTGAGTGTGTGTGTGTGTGTGTGTGTGTGTGGATATGTCCTTAGGGAAACAGTTACTATGCCAAACATACATGTGCAAGCAGCTGAAGGACTTTACTAGATCCAAGGCCAGTGCAGACAGTATCATGTCCAGGAAGAAGTGAAAAATGATGAACCAGAGAGCTTGGCAAGAGTTTCAAGGGATTTCTGCTGCTTCTGCCTAGTGGCTCACTCACAACTTCCCAATATGCATGGTGGAATTTGCCACCCACGTTTGGACAACATGACAACCCATCATGGGTGCAACTACCCCTAAAACAAACAATAGGTTGTCAGGATGGCTTTCAGCCCATGCACAAGCCACCTTCTGGGAAACATAGTCACAATGGTTCGAACCCGTCATGGTTTGTCATGATGGGCAAACATTTGTTTGCATTTATTTACATGTAGATAAACCAATTATTTTCTCACTCCATGCTACTGCAGATCTCACATTTAAACCATAGAGAGTTTTGATTACCACTGCACAAAAATAGCTTCCTAGTGTAATACTCATCCTGAGAAACAATTTATGTGGCTTCCATGTGTGCATCAGGTCACCTACGGAAGCAATAAAACTGTATATCTTTATCACTTTTGTGCCTACAAAAATCATTGCTTAACCAATGAAGAAATGGGAAGGTTATGAAAGAATATGACATTTTACTTATGGATTATCTCACTGGAAGAAATCCTTTCTTTTCTGCCCAGGTCAGTATTCTAGAAATTTTGGCACACAAATTTGTGCAGTTCCCATCTTGTCTCATGAAACATGGAAATGGCAGTGTACGACACTGTTGCTTTCTGTATGCATAGATCGGGTTACACTGGATCAATTACATCTAAGGAAGTGGATTGTCCTGCCTCCTTGTTCACATGGCAGCCCGCTCCAGGAATCAGGTGTCTTTGTTGCATCTGCATGCATATACAATGATAAGACAAGTAAGTCAGCTTTATGAATGTACTTGTGAGGGTTCTTTTTTATGACTAAATAGCACAATCTTCAGGGTGGAGTAGGAAGATATCACTCCAGGGAAGATAATAGAACAGACTGTAGAGTTGTCTGTCTGTAAGCATCTTGATTACACTGCAATAATCGAAGCCAGCACAGAATCGTAAGGAACTGTTGAACTGGATTGCTGAAATGCCATAGACATGATTTATCTTGGTTTCAGCAAAGTACTTGGCAACATTACTTCTGATAGCTTGGTTAAGCAACTGGTTACAATGTGAGTTCACTAATGCCATCAAATTGGGAAAGGCTGGCTGGCAAGAATCCAGCCTCTGCTGGGTGAAACACCCTATTTGTCAAGTGCTCATCAGTAATTTATCAGAATTCCATTTCATTTCTATGCTGCCCAGTAGCCAAAACTCTTTGGACAGGTCACAAAAATTACAACACCAGAATAAACAATATTTTTTAAATATTAAAATATTTATGTTAAATATTTAAAATATTTAACATAAATATTTAACACATTTAAGATTTAAAAACCAGGTAAAGCAACAGCTGCAACAGCTTCAAAGTAGAGGTAGTTATGAGTGCCAATATTGTTCAATATTGCTATCAGCGCTGAAAGGGTGAGATTCTTATCAAATTTGCACCTGACACAAAATTAGAAAGGATAGCTGATTTCTCAGAAAACAGTAAAAAAGTTCAAAATGGCTTTGATTGGAAACTTGCACTAAAACAGATAATCCAAGAGCCGGAAGAAAAGTTCTACATTTAAACATCAAATAATAAAATAATAAAACATCAAATAATAAATAATGACACTTGGTCTGGTATCAGTTCATGTGAAAAAGATCTTGGGATGGTACTTGATCACAATCTGAGTGTGCATTACCACCAAGAAAAGGTGCTTTTGACTGCATTGATAGAGCGATCTTTTCCATATCACAACATAGTATTGTTTCACTTTGTTTTTTGCAGGAACTTTGGGGGACAGAAAGAAGTACTAAAAATACTGGGTATGTTTAGTGGGGAGAAAGGAAGACTGAAGTAGGACACAATGGCTCTCTCTCTCTCTAATAAAGGCAGAAAAGGACAGGCGGCAGGACTAGATCTCATGGGTTTGAGTTACCAACTTAGTGGTAAGAGCAGTTTGACAATGGAACCAATTATAGGAGGATAGCTGGACTACTCCTTAAAGCAGGCGCTAAACAGCCACTGGTCTAGCTGTTTGGGTATGTTCTAGCTTTGGATTTGCTGAAGAGTTTGGACTGGATGGCCTATAATGATCTCTCCCACCTGTACAGTGTTATTACAAAGCAGTTTAGTATGAGAAAACATTTGCCTTCTATTCTTACAAAGATGGTGAGCCAAACATGTCGCTTTCTAAGTTGTAGCTAAACACATTCTTAGTGAACTCAACAAGCATGTTACTGATTAGTCATCTAAACTGCGCTACATCAGAAAAGGTGGATTGTGTAAACTACCTTGGGTTCCTTGCAGGAAAATGGTGGGATGTAAATATAATTACAACAGAAATAAGAAAATAACCACACACACTCTCTTTTTTACAGGATCCCATAGGATTCTTCTTTTTCTGGAGAAAACTGGTAGTCCAAGAACTCCTATGTGTTGTTTGAAATTTCAGCATGAGGACAAAACAGTGTTACTGTACTAGCGATGAGTCCAATATCTGCTTAGCCCTCTGTTGCGGTTGTGCTGCAAAGCACTTTAACATCAGGTAGTGAAGCAGAATTAGCAAGGGGACATTGTCTTCTCCAAACCTCTGCGCCTTACTGAAATTGCCCCAGGCCTTTGTAGCATAGTGATGAAAGACAGCGAGGCTGGCAAATAAGCTTGATCCATAGACCTCTGGAACAGAGTCCCACATTCAACTGTTCTCCAACATTATCTGGTACGAGCTGTTGTTGGAGACTGGGAAAACTGGTCATCAGAACAAATACACAATGAGCAGGACCCAGCATGGCGATACCACAAGCAGAGAGTGCAGCCTGTAGAACAAGATGTCTGTGTGCTCCCCCCTGCATCTTTCCCACAATGCACCTTCCAAATCTGCTCCAGAAGGTTGGTGGAAGTTCTAGGGCAGGTTTGGAGAGGGAAAGCAGAGGATGTCTAAGTCCTGCTCTGTAAGGGAGAAAGAGTTTAGGTTAAGCACAAATGGTCTTTTGAAAACACACCGCACCCCCTTTCCCATTCTGCACAACACATCATAATAAAGTCTCGGCAGCCTTTAGTAAATGCCAACGTTATATGTTTTATTTTTCATCATGTGATCCTTTTAAGCCTCAGTCACAAATCGATGATTGATAGAAATAAAAAAAAAATAGGCAATAGGCATTAAATGAAAATATAAAATACAGGATATGTAGAAAGGCAATCAGTGCTTCAGTCCAACAAGACAAGAGACAGAAAACGTGTGAAAAATGAACTCCCTCCCACACACAAAAATCATCTCACTGTCTTTTCTTCTGAAAGACCTGAACAATTCAAGTGATTTTTTAAAAATTATATCTTGTAAACAAAATATGAGTCAAAATGGACCATGAGGTAATCTATACACTACAGAGGACAGTTTTTAAAAACACTAGATAAAAAGACAATATTCAAGACGCATAGATATCAGTGTTCACTTTGGTCTCTGGCTATTAGGTTTACTATGAACAACATAGAGATTCAAGCCAATCTGGTAATACTTGTCAACCAGTTTGTTAATTAAATAGTAGCAAAATGCAAGAGGTAGTCAAAACCATCACAATGTCCTTAGTCTGCCATTTTAGGTTAGAAACAGTTGTTGCAAAAGGCGGAACCATTTGTCTGATATTCAGCTTAATTCCCAGGTTGTGCTGGCTGGCACGTCGCACCTTCAAAGGAACAGGCCATGTGCTTGAAAGCTCATGAGTTTTAAGCTCACAACCCTGATCAAAAAAGCCTAGGCAGCAACTAGGTTTAGGGCATCTTCAAATTGCTCTGCGCTCAAGCCCCACTGCCCCCGAATCTGCTGATCCACCCCCCTCCTTCGTATCTGGGCTTGGCAGTTGTGGGGCCCAGAGCACAGGTGGGTACTTTTGGCTCCGGGATCACACTTTGCTTACCAGCCTCTTCCGTCCAACAGAGCAGTTGCACAAATAACGTTTTATGAAGGTTTCTAAGCCAGCATCTTGTTACTAGCTAGTCACAATGACAGAAGTAACACAACCAGCATATCCTTATAAAGCTGTTGATGTAAAACAGAACAAGACACATTTAATAAGTCTTTAAAACCCAGCAAAGACAAAATAATCAAATCTCATTAAAGACATCTAGTAAAATTAAAATCAGTGCATCTGCACTCACACCTTTTCCCAGTTCCTTTCATATCCATCATAACGCAAGGGGAAGAAAACACACACACATATATTTTTATGATAAACATTTCTTAGAGATAAATTAATTTAAATTAGCTTTAAGACTTAATGAGATCTTCCCACGTTCTTTACCATTTTCCTTACAAAGAAGGTCACAAGGTCTATAAACACTTTTATGGGTCTCTATCCACAAAACTACATCCTAGAAGTAACTTTGGGATAGCACTAAGCACAAATTAATTTTACTTTTTTAAAGAATTGAGTAGCCTTTATTTGGCAAGAGTATCAGGTTTTTCGAACTAATTTTTGTGCCCAAACAGCATCTAAGTATTCAACCAGTTGTCTTTCTCCTTCCAGAATGGCCCAAGAGATGCCATGCAAGTGTGCGCATTGTCTTTGGGGTCAACTCAACAGTGTGACCCCACTGGCTTCAGCAGAAAGGCCAGAGTGTTTCTCAGGATCCAGCAAGTCCAGTCCTAATGTATCGGCAGAGAAGAGGAAGGGCTCCATTCCTGTGGTGGGGAAGACATTTGTGCTGTCACTCTGGCATGCATGCTGCTTGAAGCTTTGGCCTAGGGTGCTGTACAAATTCACACTGCTTTACAAGAGGATGCCAAGAAAAGCTCTGGCAGAGTGCTGTAGAAGCCTTCACATGTCGACTGACAACAGACAAGGCGAATTTTACAGCCACGTGTTCCCATATTGAAGGATGTTGCCATCTTTCATCTTAAGACCTCATACTGGCCCAGTTCAGATGGATGTCTCCTGCCCAAGCTCTTCATCCTTGACCTGCTCCTCCCATTGCCGTTTGGAACGAGCAGCAAGGAAAATATTAACCATACTTGGGAGCTATCTCTCCCTTTATAACTTGTATTTAACAGATTTTTTTGCTCTGTGATTCCCACCATTGCTAAAGATTAGCTAAGCTGGCTAGGGCAGATGGGAGTTGTAGGCCAAAGCATCTGGGGGGACACAAGCATCCATCCTGCTTTATGGCACTACAGTCATGTGAGGGTGGAAGCGGGGCTGTGCCCCTGGCCTCTGCCATCTGCAAGGGCCAGGACAGGGGAAACACCCAAAGAGGGAATTCTGCTCTACACACATAGGCCCCGCGCAAGGATGCCAACCCTGACTGCAAAGGGTTGCCATCATCACGGGTGTCTTCACACATAGGCTAGGCTGCCTGCTTCAGACTGCTGCCCAACACCAGGACAATAGGAGAGGACCAAGCGTAGAAACCGAAGTGCCCACGCTCTGTGGAAGGCAGGGCTGTCAAGGACGGGATGTTCGGAGGGCATCCATTCACAGGGTTGCCATAAGTGGAAGACAACGTGATGATAAACAACAAACATTAGGAAACTGGTTTGGGCAACATGGGGATGCATGATCTGAATTCTGTTTGCAAATGAGGATCCAATCCTAGTTTGTAAGCCTAGTTAAAACCATAGTTTTCTAGTCCAAATGTTACATAAACTATGGCTTAATAAGCCACAACATCCCCATCAAAGCTGGGCATACAAAATGAGGTGGGGCAAGTGTGAGCAGGTGCAGGGTTCTTTGTCAGTCCGACAGCAGTGGCTCATTGGACTGGGATTGCTACATCTGAACTGGGCCGTTGGGGCATCCTCCTCAGGTAGGCCGAGCGCTGGAGCCAGGTGGCAAGTTCTTATTTGGGCTTGCTCATTGTCAAAGTAGTGAAAGCCAGGAGAACAAATGTTTACATGGTAGCTTTACAGAACCTGGCAGTGACTACAATTTTTGGAGTGGCACATTCTGGTCCTATCAATAGCTTATGATGCAGCGAATCTACTTCTCCAGTCAAAGTGGGATAGCCTCATTTAGAAGTATATCAGGCTGTAACAATGGATCTTTGACCTTAGCTGCAAGAAACAGGAAAAAAACCCACTGTGATTTTATTGCAATCCAGGGCTAATCAGTTAATTCCAACATACTGGTACTTGGTCGCCTTTGCATGTAGTATTTGTCTGTGAACAGCACCCATTTCTTCTCCAGGCAGGAAAAAATAAAATCTAAACTTTAAGAGAGGCTCTCATAACCATTTCAAATGAATGCATCACTTTTAAATTAAGCACATAGCTGTTCTAACACTTGCCGTGAAAGCAAGCTACATAGACATAGACAGAGGCAGTGAACTGCAGAATAGTTTAAAAACTGGTATGTACCATAAGATCAACAGCCACCTTTAAGGCCTGAGCAGCACAAAGGTGTTGCTTATGTGGTAAGTATGAGGTAGTTGTTTGCTGTAAACAGAATAATGTTATTATTCCCTATGTAAACAATGTGGCTGAGAATTTCAGAAACGGGGAGGAGCTGCCTTGCCCGTCCCTCTATCAGTCAGCCATACTTGTGAATGTCAACTCACAAATGTTCACTTCAGTACAGAAATACCACTGTACTTCTATTTTCACAGGAAAGCAGAATGCAAAAGTTGATATCTGAGTTGTCAGAAACCCATTAATATGTAAACAGAGGTAGATATTATCATCAGCACAAAACATGTATAGAGCAGTACAGTAAATAGTAGCATAAAGTATTTTTGGTTTGTTATGAGCAAGCACATAAACTGTAAAAGAAAAAAAAAGAATTAACATGGCATTTTCCCTGAGCAAGGTTCTTTGTCCTGAGAAGTCTATTTTGTAATAGTGACCATCCTCCCATTTATAAAAATAAAATGTAAACTTTCATGATATAGGCTTGATAGGCTCTCTTAGCAATTCACTCTGCAGCTGCTGGAATTTATTTCACAATGATTTCAGGTCTGGAATTATAAAGTATGTAAATGGGGGAATGGCCAGTTTTCAAATTCACCATTTCCATCCACCATTTCTATATAAACGTCAAGGAACTTTGGTTTATATTTTCAAAGTGACCCAGGTTTTGCATTGTTGCTGTTCATGGGGCTGTTCTCATGTAACAGTCACAAATTATTGGGTAACTAAACCACAATTTGCTGTGCCACATGGCAGGTGGGTTTCCATAGCCATTTTGAATATTCAGCCGTTGAGTAAGCTGTCTGGTAGTTGCTGTTTGATGTCTGAATCCAGATACTATAGATTAATGGTGGGTTAAAGAACAACAACAAACTTCCCACAGATAACCAGTTGTTGGTTAATCATGCTCTGTTTTGCCTTCGATTAACCTATAGGTTCAGGTCTGGACATCATTTACATAGCAATCAGCCCCACTGGGGAATGAATATTCAATATAGTCATGGGATGCACTCAGCATACATGACAAGAAATCATGGTTCAATCCATGATTTGCCACCTTTACATGTGAACTGGGTCTAACCCAATTATCATACCTGCTAGAAGTTTATGCAATGCCACTTTGATTTGTCTACATAACTTAAATAAGTTTACAATCCTTACATAAGGCAAGGAAGTACTCTTCTAAACATATATCACATTCAGTATCGTCAAAAAAACTTTGCATTGTAGCACACTGAAAACTTTAGTATAAACCATTGAGATATTTTTCCTTGAAGACTGTCATGGAATTCAAGCAAAGTTACATAAGATTTGTGCCTGTTACTGAGGCTGTTGAGCCTTATACATTTCCTGAAAAAAGGGAGGTGGCGGCAGCAGCAGCAGCAGCAGAAGTAGTACAGGATTTGGGCTTAGGACCAATGCCTTCTCTGCTTAAGCCAGGTGCAATGAATGGAGTCCCATCAGCCTTGATGGGAGGACTGCCAAAACAATTCTTACTGTAGGCAGTAACTCAACAGAAGAAAGTATGTTTTCATGATTTTAGCCAAAACCTCTTAGAAAGGATAATGCTTGCTTTGCTTTTAACTAGTGGGGAAAACAGTTCTACAAAATAATATGTTCCTCAATAATACACTCGAGTGGGAACAGCCATGATCCATGGAACACACAGCTAGGGCTTCCCCTGGAAGGTTCTGCAGCAGCTGCCCAGTGTCTGGGAGCCACACAAGGCCACAGGTGCACGTGGTCCTCATGTCTACAGCTAAGTGACATCTCTGATTTACAGTCCTAAATTGGGAATCTACAAAGGAAGTGAATTTATGTCAACTCCTCTGTAGTCAGTCAAAATGCAATGTACAGCTGCATCCCCAACTTGGTACCCTCCAAATATCTTACATTTCAGTAACAATTAGCACCAGCCAGCATGTTCAAGAATGCTGGGCACGGCAGTCCAAAACTTCTGGATAGCACCAGGTTGAGAAAGGCTGGACTGAAGGTTTCATGAACGTCGCCTTGAAAGATGGGATCCAACACGCACAGATCTAAAGTGCTGCTCACAATGAAAATAGGTTAAGTGAAAAACCTTGGTCTGGCAGGGTTCTTGTTCCAACACTGCTGCCCCCTTTTTTCATTTATTACCAGAAACACGTTCTAGTCTAAAAGCTACTGATTGGGGTCCCCTTTCATAAGCCTCGAGGAAACACTTGAACATTGCATGCTCTCAACACACTCCCTTTACAGAAGGGGCTTGTACTGGGAAGGCTTTAAGAGGAGGCGTGAGTATCCGAGCAATCCATATGTGAGAAGCTGATCAGCTGTGGAACATTTCAAAGCACTGGTGGAGAACAAGCACCACTGATGTCCACTATGAGAAAAATGCAGATGCTAATCACCAACCATATACAGTGGTGCCTCATACTTTCAATTTAAATAGCTTCAGGAGGCAGTTTGAACTCTGAATGTTCAAATACATTTTCCCCATTAGGAATAATGGAAAGTGAATTAATCTGATCCCAGACCCTGAACAATACCCATTTTGGCAAACTTAAACAGCAAATAGTGCCTCCTGAAACTAATTAAGTTTGAGGTTATATGTGATGTGTGATAAAAAAGGTGAATGTTTACATTTTTTAAAATTACAGTGAAAGATATTTGCCATTCATCCCCCCCTCAAATACTACCCGTTGCTTCGAGCACACTTACCCCATTGTTCTTGCGTTGCCATGGCTGCCTTGAGGTCCTAAATCCATTCAAGACAAGATGAATCGATTCAAGACGAGACAAATTGATTCCAGTCAGGGCAGCAAGGCAGCCACGACAGCGCAGCTAAAGACACTTATGAAACCCTTGCAGAGCTTCTTCAGAAAGTGGCAAGAATGATGGGATGAGTCTGTTCAGAGCGAGGGGGAGCATTCTGAGGTAATTAATGGCAATATGTCTTTTACTGTCATGATTTTTTTTTTGACCTGGGCGCATAACCAATGATATTTTCACCGCGACTGCATTTTTTTTCACTGCAAACTTCACTTGCAGTTCAAACTTAGAAGCATCGTTTTAACTGCTTAGCAATTTTATCTTGGCTCTAATGTTCAAACTCTGGATTGTTCAATGTTAAGAGTCATTTGAGCTACGAGATACCACTGTAGTAGAAATAACTATGGTGCCACTGGATGCGAGGTGAGCCTTCCTCAATGTGTTGGACTGCAACTTCACTCGCTCTTTCATCTGTATAATGAATAGTCTGCAACTGTATGCTCACTAAGCCCTACTGAACTTAATGACACTTAAGTGTTACTTCTGAGCAAACTGGGTAGGATTGGAAATATTAAAAGCCTAACATTTCAGAAACGAAAAGGCCAAGGGGTCTGCTTCAGGTTTTCTTTCCTCAAAGTGGCAGGTATTTCTTCTGCATTTTTATCCTGTGTTCCCTTTTCAGGAGATGTGGAGATCCATTCACTTATATTTCATGCAATTGGTGAGAATGGAGTCTGAAGAAGATGCTGCTACTGCTGCCTTCACAACACCCCGGGATTTGCACAAAATACAAAGATTCAGGGTGGTATCACAATACCAGCCAAAACAATCATTTCAACGTTATACATTCGCCCTCACAGTTACCTAACCTGCATTCCAACCATATTAATTTAATACAATATTTGAGATACCAGCACAGAAAACAACACATTCATTGTCTTTGGGGGAGGGGAAAGTGTGGGGAGCGCCTTTTAAGTCTTTAAACATTGTGGCAATTCTGAGGCATATTTAAACCATTTAAGTCATTACCCTTTCAAGATGAGAAGCTAAGAAGACATAGCTCTCTTGGGTAATGGGGAGGAGATTAAAAAAATCTACCCTGAACCCTATAGGGATGTCTTAATATCTTTAGTACCATGACCATGGCAGCTTTAAATAGCATTTCTTTGGGTTCACGTGAAGTAACAGTTGTGATTTGTTTTCCCTCCTTTCTTTTTCTTGTATAATTAAAAAGGCAACATAATAAAGAAAAATTCCAGGAATAATTATTTTAAAAATCACTCAAACTATTGCTTTCCAATGGATGGTGTATCCAAGGAAACAGAGTGTCGAATGTATACATTCAAGACATCACACACTCAGACCATGGGCCAGTTCGGACATCACGAAAAATTATGGTTTATCATGAGAGGAATGAGCTGCAGTGAGCCAAGGGATGCCCCAGAGACAAGCAATTCAGTGCCCTCCAAAGGCTTTGGCCCACCACTTCCACCATCCCTGACCACTGGCCCTGTTGGCTGGGGCTAATGGGAGTGGTAGTCAAAACACCTGGAGATAGCCAGGTTGTCCATCTCTGGGCTGACATGTTCCTTGGCATTCCTCCGCAACATGGCCCTGAGGTTCAGAAGCTTTCATTATCATTACTGCATGGCTGCTCTGGAGAAAGGGAAGGCAGAGCATACAAACCATACTTTACCATGACGACAAACCATGGCTTATCGTGGCACCCAAGCCAGCTCAATGAAACTCAAGACATTCCACTCAAATGAAATTTGCTTGGAGTGATCAGTCCTCAACAGTAGTTAAAATTTTAAGTTGGTTGCAAGATACGTGAAATTATTCTCCTTGTGCTTGTATGAGGTAGACATCCCGAGAGGATAAGGAGATGAAAGGCTGTGACCAAAGCTCTCTTAAGTCTTTTTCCTTTTTTGAACAGAGGGCCCCTTTCGGCTTTGTTCTTCAGGTGATGGAGATAATTTACTTGAAGTGGCTTCTTGTGGAGACCGGCCTGAATGTTCTAAGATGTCGGACCTTCCTTCCTGAGAATAGGATGGAGAAATGTAGCCATAAGCCCCTCCCCCTTCTCTCAGGAACGCTGATGTGGAGGGCTGGGGTTCTGCTTCGTATCTTCCCTGATAACTAGTGGGCTGCTGCGGAACAGTTTTATGTGGGCAGTTTGCCACCATGTGCATGATACTCTGACAGTAATGGCACTTCTTTGGCTGTGGAGGTAGAGTACATTCCTTAGCATGATGATCGAGGCCGCCACAATTGTAGCATCTGCAAAACACACATATTTGTAAACATGAAGACCATTTACAAGAGCAACCTTTTAAATGTTAAAATGTGGGAAACACTAATCTGTAATTAGCCAATACCATACAAGGTCTTCTGAGACCTATTTAAAAATAGGGTAAAATAGCACTGCTGGGTGCTCACTTGGGAGCAGAATGAAAGTGAGTGAGCAAGACTTGCTCTTCTTGCTACCTGGAAGCTTTAGCCAATTTATCTGGGCTTCAGTTGGACTTACACTGGACTTCTTCCACTCATCTATCAATTGGTAAGGAGCTCTTTCAGGTTCTCCTTCAAGTGTAAAGGAATGGAACAAGTGCACTTCTTGACTGATCAATATTGTGCATAAAAGTTCTTGATGTAGCCTCAACAAGTGTATACCCAGAAGCTGTCTAAATGAACATGTATAAGATTGGCAGATATGTGTAAACATAAAGTTAAATTGAGCATTTATTACCAGAGTAATGTCTGGCATTGCAACATTTGCCAATTCCTTCAGCACCTGCTTTAGACTTTAGAACTTTCTTGAAATGAAACATACACTAAATCCTGATCCAAAGTCACTTTATGCCAATGTGATTATCTCTTAGTCTACAAGAAATAAGCCACATAAAATACAAGGATTCCTGGAATTGTTGTATGGTGCTCAGTACTGAAATATATGATCATTAGAAAAATAAAGAAAAAATAGGTTATTATTTATACAGTGCCGTGCATATACCATCAGCGTCAGCATCTTCTCTAGTCCTCTCACTTGCCAAAGCTCTTTGAGTGGTTTAGAACAGTTCATAAAACAGCAAATGTAGTATAACACCCTTCAATTTGTTTCAAAATGCAAAAATATAAAAATAAATTTTAAAATAACTAAAACAATATATGATACTGAGTACACCTGTACAGCATCTGGGATGGATGCTTCCTCCAGACCATTTAATAGCCTTCAATGCCCTGGCATAGATGACCATGTTGATCTCGTTCTGCCCCTGACAAGGCCCTTCTCCTTGCTGCCGCCTCTGAGATGCCTGCGGAGTCGTCTCGGAGGAAGGCCTCAGGCACTGATTGCAGTGTCTGTGTAGAGTGCAGAGTGTGTTGGACAGGTGCTCTATCAATATTGCAACCCTAAGCCAAGCAGGGATTTATACATTCAAACCAGCACCTGAGAAGCAGTCCCGGAAGTGAATAAGCAGCCAATGCAAGCAAACCAGACTCTTCAGAGCTCTTCAGGTCCTAATTAATAGTCTGGTGACTGCATTCTACAGAAGCTGCAGCTTCTGAAGAGTCTTAAAGGACAGCTTTACCCAGAGTGCATTGCAGTAACCTAATGCAGAGATTACCAGAGTGCAGATCACTGAAGGCGGGCTATCTCTGTTAGACAGTGGAGTAGCTGGGCCACCAACCAAAGTGGGTAGAAGACACTCCAAACCACTAAGGTCATCTAAGCCTCAAGGGGCAAGGCTGGTTCAAGGAGGAAGATACAAGCTAATGCCCTGGCATTGCAGTAGGAAAAAGAAGAAACATAGGAGACAGAAAGGATGGACAAGGGTGATAGAGAGGAAAGGGAAAGTGGAAGTAAAGATATTAGAGAGGATCAATGTGAGCAGAGGCAAGTATCTATATTTTAGCTTTAGTTCTGGATATAAACTGATATGCTAAGTCCAATACTTCAGGAAACAGATTCTGCCATTTCAAATCTAAGACTAATCTTCAAGTGAAAATTTCTTTGAGGATAGGCCTCTACCTGGATGGGATTTAGGGACCTTCGTTGCCCACAGCCACATGGGACTTGGATTCCAAGATAACAAATGAAAGTTCACAGAAAGGAAACTTCCTGTCACATCCCAGACTACCCTGCAGCCACCGGTCTCCATTTCACATTATTCAGAGCTCCGTATTTTGTAACCTAAAGGCTGAAAGGCTTTTTATACACAGTAAACAAAACTTTTGGTAACGTATATCAAGATACAAGATAAATACTACTGTGAAGAATAAACCTTTATAGAGCTCAAGAGAAAATTAAAGTGGGGGGGGCAATACAACATCTAAGCAAATGTAAAGAAAAGTATTTAAATAAGAAGTTGTTAGTGAAGTAATCGCAAAGGAAAAATAGTCATAAGGATTGTACAGACAGGTATTGCTTGCTTAGGTTTTTTCTGCATATTTAAATATAGGCCGCTAGAGGGCAGCAAGGATCTAAATATTTGCCTCTATCATGCAGTTGCTTTTAAGCTACTGTTTCACTAATAATTGTATTAGTGGTACATGCTGGAGGGTTTGAGTTCATTAATCTATAGATACTGAGATCTGCACCAACATCTAATCTGTTACTAATGAATAACATACGGTGTGTTAATGTCAACATGCACAATCCCAAAGCGGAAAGGCATATTAGCAGAGAGCCAGTGCGGTGTCGTGGTGAAGAGCATGGGACTGGGACTCAGGCGATCCGGGTTCTAGTCCCCGCTCGGCCATGGAGCCAACTGGGTGACTTTGGGCCAGTCACAGACTCTCAGCCCAACCTACCCCACAGGGTTGTTGTTGTGAGGAAAAGATGGAGGAGGAGAATGATGTGAGCTGCCCTGAGCCCTTTGTAGGAAAAAGGCAGGATATAAACCGAAAAATAAATAAATAAATATTACAATCACTGTTGGAGCTGACATACAAAATACTAGCACTATGTGGGCTTTGCAACAGGACAGAACTCTTTATTACACGGAACCATACCTCTCCCGCATCAGTTCAGACAAGAGGAACGACGCAGTACTTGCTGGGCAAGCCTCACTTATGGTGAGTGGAGCTGCACAGCAAGGGAACAGAGGTTACATTCAGCTTGTACCCCATTTCAAGAAGTGTTGCCCATGGATCTTGTTCTTCAATAGATGGGCTGAAGGACAGCAGGGGCTCTAAGGTGTGGCGGAGGACTGCCCAGGTGCGGAGAAGAGGCGGCACATTCTGCCTCGCAATGGATGAGTGCTGCGCTGAATTCTTTGATGATCCCATGCCGGGGTGGGGGGGGGAGCTATGAATAAGGAAGGGATCATCTGGCTAGACCCAAGAATGAGGTGTTTATTTGGTCAGACAAGAAGCACAACCTGCCCACATGTTGTAGGCTGACATGTGCACCAGGCTTTGACGGGACATCCTCAGGCAGACAAATTTTTTTCCTTGCTAGCCCTGACTGATTGTTGGGCTAGGATGATCCCAAGCCCCCTTCTTTAGCATATTCATGGCTAAGCTTTACATATTAGTTTGACTTGATTCAGTTTGGCAATGTCTTCACTGTTATTTCTCTCAGCATCTCTGGCAAATGGATCACTGCAGGCCTGGAAAATGATACAATGGCCAGATTCACACGACATTTTAAATCAGCAGTGGCTTGTTAGCCCAATAAACATGCCCAGTAAATTTTCTAGCACAGGGACGAGGGCAGAGACACCTCCTCCCACCCCACTTCTCCTGCAGGGTTCCCATGAGACTCAGGTCTACCAGAAGAAGGAATCATTGTGGATGAAGGCTGCTGGTGCTGCTACTAGTGACTGAGGAGATGAAAGAGGCTGGTTGTGACACGCTGGCATCTCCCCCATAAGGAAAGGCCAAAGCTCAGGCTTGGCCTTCGTGGTGCCAGGTGCATCCCAGCCGACTCTCCATGTTCCTAGAGTATCTAACAAAGACGACCAAGTATGATCCCCTTCTCTGGGCATGTATGCCATGTTCCTTTCATAAAGTCATGGCCTCTTTCATCCTATTATCAGTAGTTTGCCTCTTTTGTGTTCTCAGCAAAAGACATGCTGCAATTCTTCCATAGTGCATGCTTTGGACATGATTTACCAGTCTTTTCATTCTGCTAAAAGACTGTCAATAGTATCATGAGGCATCCTCTTCAGACAGCAAGATTTGGGCCATGCTCCTCAAAACATTTCTTCAACAGCCAATATAGGTGGATGATTAACACTCCACGAAGATGAAATATTATTTCTTTATACTGCCTGCCACATGCATGCCAAAAACTAACCATGAGCCTATCTTTTCATTTTCACAACCTTTGTTAATAGTTTTCTCAATATTTTAATGATACATAGAGATAGACACTGAATTCCTGGCACAGAGCACTGAAGTAATCAAAGTTCTGCCTGTGATTCATAGAAAGAGTGTTGGAATTGTTCCCTAAGGTCTGCATTTGGATCATGCAAACCAGCCTATATTTACACACATTTAAACCTACCACTCTCAATACAGTGAAGAATTTCACGTAACAATTGCAATTCCAAACTGATACTAGAGATAAATAGATACTAGAGAACCCTATTAGCCACAGTGTGAATGGCTCTGAAGTGGCAACAATATTATTTTGGAAAGCCTTGTAGATAAAACTATCTCCAAAACTTAACTTTATATCATATAAAAGTCTTAACTAGAATTGTCCAGAGTTGCTTTTTTGTCAGCCCAGTGGCTTGTGATCATACTATAAATCTAAGTTACATGAAGTAGCAGCAAATACTCTGACACTATACAGGAACTAGGTTTGGGTGGACTAAGTCCTTTGTCTTTTAATCAATATTCTGTAGATTCCCAACAAAGATTTGTGTTTTGAAAATACTAAAAGGTAAGTAACTGTTCTGAGAGTATGAAAAAGGATAAAACAAAAGAAATTTATGTAGAATTTCATAATTACATTTCAGAAAGAATTCACTTCTAGCATATTTCCCAATCAAAATCATAGCTTCTTTATAACCACCATATGCTAGCTCTTTATCCCATGCAGTATTCATGTTTAAATAATCTAACTGCTACATTTTACTCAATCACTTCAATTGTTTGAAGTTAAAAATTATCACATGATACCTCCTTCGGGTTTTTTTTCAGCTAAGCACTCTGTTGTTAATTTGGCATTCTCTCTTTTTATTCAGCTACACTGGGTCATCTTAAAAACATCCTTTTCAACACTGTCAAGAGATTATTTCTTACAACAATGTTAAGGCAAACATTTGAGA